CTGCCTGTGTGGGCCTCAGCTGGTCTGGGGGTGGCGACCACGTGTCCTGGTTTCAGCCCGAGGGGGTTGGTGACACAGCACCTGCTCCTGGGTCTGCGCCCAAGCAGCGTGGGAGGCAGGACCCAGGGACCCAAAGCCTCTGTTTCCTCCTCTTCGGGGGGACGTCCGGAGGCGCCAAGGAACTGTCTCCAGCCCTGAGAGGTTTTTCTGGTCCTCACCCGGGAACACGTTCACTGGTGTTCGAGAGGGACAGGAGAAAGAGACTTGGACTGGCCGAGTGGCATACCATCCCTGACCGACGGGGGTGGACCCCGCGGCCCTTGGTATACGGGGCGGCACTCCAGCCAGCCGAGCACCTGGCCAGGACCCGCTCTGTTTTGGTCACTCCTTTGCCTTCGCAGTTTCCGGCTGGTGCCCAGTAGAGTAAACACACTTCTAAAGGGCAGGCGGTGATGCGCGGCTCTGTGTCCTGACGCCCAGGCCCAGGTTGGGAGGAGCTGAGGCCTGGGTGCTGGTGGCTCCGGTCCCATGGGAGGGACTCGTGTCCCCTCCAGAGGCACAGCCAGTTTGCGGCACAAGCCTGGCCCCAGCAGGACAGCCAGCAGCAGGCGCCCCCAGCTCAGGCTCGGTTGCCAGCAGCCGGAGCTGCTGCCCCTGGGAGCCGGGCCGTTTGTGTATTTAATGACTGTGCGGTTTGGATTTTTCGTAGGGAACACTGAAGTCATCTGGGAGTGAACAGTCATACCGATCTTTTTGTTTCTGAAGGTCATGCCGTCATTGTGTGAGGCCCGGGGGTGGGGGCAGAGACAGGAAGTCCCAGTGCCTGGTGCCTGGACTGAGCTCCCGACCCAGCCCATGGGCGCTGTGCCCCGGTGCCCGCCCACGGCCTGCCTTGCAGCTGATGAGTCAGAGCAGTCTGCAGGGGAAGGGCGCGTCACTGCCTCCCACCCCCGGTTTCCAGGGTGGCTTCCAGCTCCCGGTTCTGCGGTTTAGCGCCGAGTATGTGTTGTCTGCCGTCGGGGCTGCCGTTCTTGGCCGCACGGCGCCAAGCCAGCACCAAGGCTTCGGTGTCTGTTCTTGTGGCGCGCAGGCTGGCCTGGGCCCGTATGGGGGCGGGGCTGAGGCTGGGGGGCTGCCATCTCCCCGTTAGGTCCCCCGTCTGTGCCCACCTGGTGAGAACCAGTTCGCCCCATGGGCTTCTGCACAGAGAGTAACAGGTGCAGGACAGCTCGCTGCCCGCCCCGGCCGCCCGCGGCCCCGCACGGCTGAAACAGCCCGCACACCGGGCGGTGCCGCCAGCCTGCTACGTGTGTCTGGTCTCTGAATCCCGGCTCTGCGCCCGCGTGGGGGCCGACTGCGGGATGAGCCTGGTGGGCCGGTTGTCATGGCAGCCAGGACTTGGTGGGCTCACAGCGCTTCGGGAACTGCGCTCCCAGGCGGCTGTGGAGATGGCGTCCAGGCCTGCTCGCGCCCTGTCTGCGGCCTGCCAGACCCCCGCCCCCATTGCCACAGAAACCAGGGAGGTTCGGCAACGCGACCGGCAGCTGGGACCCCATTTTCTCTGCTTAGAGAGGAAGCCACTCTGTCAGTCTGGTGACGCCTGTGGATGGAGCCCTTTGCAGAGTGTTTTTCAGGGCACAAAGCAGAATATAGGGGATGACAAAGAGGCCTGGTCACGTTGAAATACCACCATCAAAATTTCACCATTGAGCCCTGGCTGGTGTGGCTCAGTGGATTGAGCACTGGCCTGTGAACCAAAAGGTCACTGGTTCAATTCCCAGTCAGGGCACAGGCCTGGGTTTCAGGTCAGGTCCCTAGTAGGGGGCGTGTGAGAGGCAACCACCTGATGTTCCTCTGGACATCAGTGTTTCTCACCCTCTTTTCCTCCCTTCCCCTCTCTCTAAAAGTAAAAAATAAATAAAATCTTAAAAACACCAAACGAACAAGTGACTGAGTGACAAACAAGCCCCTGACGGCACTTAAGAAGCAGGGCCAGCAGAGTTTGGGCCACTCTGAATGGGACGCGGCAGTGAGTCTGAGACGCGCTCGGTGTTGAGTGGCCATCCTGTGTCACGAGTGTCCCGTGTTGCCCGTGGTCACAGGCCGCACGTGCTCTGTGTGGGTCCCAGGCTGAGACTGGGGCGCATGGGGCACCCTCACCCCAGGGTGGGCTCCTCTTGGGCTGGGCACCTTGATGCCGCAGCTGCCGGCCCAGGGCCCTCGGCCTGGGCAGGTGGTCCCCGGGTGCCCAGTGACGGGACTCGTGCCCCGGGGACTCACCCAGCTGCCCTGGTGTCAGCGTGGAGCAGATGGCCACGCGGACAACTCTGGGCCCGCCCGCCCGCCGGGCGTGGTGTGCGTGGCGTTCCTCCTGAGGGGGAGACGGGCCGTGGAGCCCCCCTGTGCTCGGGCGAGGCCAGCGGCGTGGGCCCTGGGGGAGCCAGAGCAGGGTCCGCACCCTGGCAGCCCACGAGCCTCTTCCACCTGGAGGCCACGCTGTGGCCTCCACGCTGTCCTGTCTGTCCACGCAGGACCTTGGGCACCCAAGGTTTTCTTGAGTGAAGCCACACTCCCTTCTCTCCGTTGGCTGCTGGGGGGGTCCCGCGTGAGCAGCCGGCGCACCCTGCCCCCTGGGAGACAGGGCCCAGATCTGCTCCGGCTGCCATGCTGGCCTGCAGTGCAGGTTTGTGCGCCGGCCCTCCCGGGTCGGCGGGAGCTGGACAGGTGCTCCTACGAGTGGCTGTGAGTGGCAGTCCGTGTGTCCCGGACCACAGCCTGCACTGCGTGACTCCCTCAGGCCAGAAATGGGGCTGTGCCCTGTGAGACCTCTGGCTGAGGCCTCCTGGCCTTGCCTCTCCCCGCCCGCCCCGCCAGGGCCCCTGAACCTGTCAGGTGTGGCTTCGCTGACAGGCTGCGAGGCCGAGGCCGAGGCCCCTCTAGGCTCTTGTCACTGGGTCTCCTAGGTGTGCTTGGGTGGCCCAGCTGGGGAGACGCCCCCTCTCCCCCCGGACGCTGCCCCGGGCTCTCAGGCCACCTTTCCTGTTGGTGCAGCGTTTCGCTCGGACCCGCCCCTGCCCTTGCCCACTGGACATCAGCTGGGTGTGGACAGAAGTCCCTGGACGGTGTTAGGGTGGCCATTGGTGGCATGTGTCACCGTGAAGGGTGTGCTGAGGGCACTGGACTGCTGCTGCCCCCCCCAGCCAGGCCCCCCCTCACTTTACTCCTTCCCCTCATTTTCCTGTCCCGGGTGCCAGCTTGTCCCTCGTCCCTACCCCATATTCAGGTGGAGTGTCACTCTCTGGAGGGGGCGCCCTCTTCTCGGGGGAGGGGGCACCTATCCCCCCCCCTCTGAAAACCCCTCCCCTGTCCAGCCCCTCGAGGTAGGGAGGGCCAGTGGGGACAAGTCTGCCTCTCGGGCATCTGTTCACGACACCAAAACCTGCTGGCTGCCAGGACCCACTTCCCACTTCCGCAGGAAGTCGGTCACTTGCTCACCTGTTTCCCTGTCACTGACTGAGACGCAGCTCTGAAAAGGGGGTGTAGATGCACACGCTGGTGTCTGCGGCGGTCTGGCCAGCGCCCGCCTCTGGGGCCCAGGGACCCTGCCCTCCGAAGCCGTTCGCGCCTGAGCAGCCAGACCGACCGATTGGTGGCCAAAGAGGTCAGAGGCGGAGCTGGCCGCAGGCCTGGACGGGTCCCACACCCCCACCGGGCCCCGCCCCCACAGGCACCCAGGTGGGCGGCGCAGTGAGATGCCCAGCCCTTAAAGCTTGTTTCTTTGCTCCCGGAAAGAAAAAGAGTAAAACCGAGTCACTCGAGGGCTGAGTCTCCCAGGGTCGGGGGTGCAGTGAGGACAGCTGCTGTCCCCAGTGAAGGTCAATAGCAGTCGAAGTGCGTGCATTTTTTTTTTTAATGAGGATTTTTTTTAAAGAAACTTTTGAGCAAAAATTAAAAGTATTCTGTTACTGAGAAAATACTTTTTCCCTAAAGCCACTGCTTACTTGTACGGATGGAATTAGGGAGAATGGGAGCTGGGAGAAGTTTCTTTATACTGTGTGAACTGGGGAAAGGAGCATTTGCTGATTAAATCCGAGGTCGATGGGGGCCCTCCCGCCCCTCCGTTGCCCGTGGCCTTGTCTCCCTCCCGATCCTTCCTGGCGCCCCAGCTCCCAACGGCCCCCGGGGCAGCAGGAGGCGGCCCCTGAGTTGTGGGAACTGGCTCCCTGCACAGGCACCGCCTTGGTGGGTGTGCGGCGCTGGTCTTGAGAAGGGGGCGCTGAGTTGCGGTTTCTGGGGACCCCAGAGATTGTGGAGAGTTGAGGGCCCATGTGGACCCTGCACCCCTGTCCAAAGCTCTGGAAGCCACCCGTGGGAGGCGGTGCTCAGGTGGGGGGTGGCGGGCTGCGTGGGTGAGCTATGGGGTCGGGAGGCCGTGGCTTTCTTAACTCTGGATGATCGAGCACCTACCTCTGTGACTCGGTGGCCATTGTAGAGGACACACTCTGAGGGACTTGGGCGACCTTCCCTCACCTGTCTGTCACCTTCCTTAAACGGGGGGGGGGGGGCTCGAGCAGGTGTGTCTGGGCTCGTTGTGTGCCAGGCGCTCTCTGACCCTTGGGGGACGCTCATGGTCCCACTGGGGAGACCGGTCGCCACACTGTGACAGCAGCGCAGGTGGCTGTCTCATGCTGGGCAGTGAGTGCTGTGAGCTGGGGACACACAGGGTCGGGCACTCGCTGATGAGTCCTCCGGGACCCCCAGGTGTGGGAGGATGGGGGCTGGGGGCCCCCTGAGCCTGGCAGCTGAGGTCTCTGTGATGGGGTGGACACACCTCGGATGGAAGCAGCGGATGGGAGGGTGGGGGGCACTGACAGCACAGGGTCCCTGGGAGGTGGGCCAGTGCCCACCCCCGCCCCCACAGCACTCCTCTCTGCTTCCGGGAGCCGTGCCCTGCCCTCGTGACCGTTCCCCAAGTGACAGTGACCTCTTTGCTGTTCCAGTGCTCACGCCTCCTGCGCCGCCGCCGCCCCCCATCCAAGGATATGCCTTCAAGCCTCCACCCAGACCCGACTTCGGGACCTCCGGGAGAACCATCAAGCTGCAGGCGAACTTCTTCGAAATGGACATTCCAAAAATCGACATCTATCACTACGAATTGGACATCAAGCCGGAGAAGTGCCCGAGGAGAGTTAACAGGTACCACGTCCCGCTCTACCTGCCTCCCCCGATTGGTGCAGGCGGTCCGTGCCTGCAGCCCAAGGCTCTGACCAGCCCTCCAGTCACCTTCGTCCCAGCAAAGTTCCTTTTGAAACAGTTTTTGTATCGAGTTGCAGTGAAATACGCATCACGAGCTCCATTCAACGAGCTTTGGCCCCTGCCCCGTGTCAGTGCAGTGACCTGCCACGCGGTCCCCTTCCCGCCCGGCAGAGACCCGCCCGCGGGGCGCCCTGTGTGGCCGAAACTCACCTGTTTCTGCGGCAGAGGGACCTTCTGTGGTGCGCACACTTCAGCGCTGGTGTGTCCCTCCCCTGTTAGGTGCGTGGGCCACCGTGAGCCTCCTGAGTCTTTTCTGTGCGCAGGGTGGTCTCGCCCTCACAGATGCTCGGTGAGGAGCGAGGGTGCGGGGACCTGCAGATGCTCTCCCCGGGGGCCCAGGGCGTCCCTGTCCCGCTCTGTGCCCTTGTCGGCGCTCAGGGTGACCAGTCTTTCTGGCTATTGCTGTTTCTTGCGGACAGAGGTCGATTCTCGGTGTGGTTTAATCTTTACTTCCTGGTAACTAATGAGTCGAACGCCTTCCGTGCACTTGTGTCCGTGGATGACACGATGCTCACGTGTCACAGAGTGTCACACCTGTTTATCTCTGGCAGTGTGTGGAGGTTGAGGGGGCTCGTTTTCTCTCCGATCTGTGGGGGTTTTACAGCAGTGTCTCCCGGGGGCAAGTCTGTATGGAAACTGTGTGCTCAGCCTGAGTTTTGCAGTTTCACTTCCTGGATGGTGTCTTTAACGGGCAGGATGGTACGATTTTGTCAACTCCAGCATCTCATTTTGACAGTGGTCACCACGCGGTGGGTTCTCTCTAAGAAACATTTGCCTACCTGGTGGTAACGAAGGTCTGCTCCTTTTTTTACAAGAATCGCAGTTTTTTTCTCCCGTGCCCCGTGCCCTGACCCCCGTGAGCAGGCTGCTGTGTGTGGCGTGTGCTGAGGCTCGGCTCACACGTGCCTGTCTGCAGGGGTCGGCCTCGGCACCTTGCGGGGGAAGCCGGTCGATTTTCGTTAACTGTCAGAGAGCCCCGTGGAGTTTTTTCATTGTGACTGTTCTGAGTCTCTCGATAATGGGTGGAAAAGTGACACTGTTGAATCCAACAGCATCTACCAAGGCGTGAGCAGTGTGCGCTCCCCGCATTGCGGGCTGTGCAGAGAAGACTGGGCACCGCCCACACTCAGTTCCTCTCTGCAGGGACTGGGTGTCGTAATGCTCAGGTCCAGGGGTCTCATTTCGCCCGTTACGTTGTTACTGTAGATGGTGTTTTACAGTTTCATTTTCCAGAGGGGGTGGGGAGGGGCTGCTAACAAGCATGGGGTTGCTTTCGGGGTGACGCGGGGTCGCACAGGTCTCTCTGCGGCGGTGGCGCCCCCAGAGCCCTGCGTCGCCGTGCACCCCCGACTCTCGCACTTTCAGGGCTTCATGGCGTGTGATCGACAGAGCTCGGCAAAGACGCGAAGTTTTTCTCGTTCTTTTTGAATGAGGATGGCTTTACTGCTCTCATTCCCGCTTTTAATGGGTTTTATTCCTTCAACTCGCTCTGTCGCGGCGGCTCAGACATCAGCGTACAGGGCGCTGAAGGTGGGTGCCGAAAGCAGCCGCCTTGCCGCATTCCACGTCCCGGGGATGTCTCCCTTTCACCTCTAAAACGTTGTGATACTCCTTTTAGGATTTTGGAAGACCCCTTATCGGGCCGGGGGGAGCGCTCCTCCCGTTTGCCGAGAACCCACCTTGCCCGAGGGCACCCAGTTCTGTCCCCAGGATGCCGTTACTGCATCTGCTGGGCCCCCCCCAGGGGTGCGATTGAGTGACTTCTTTGGTGCGGGTGGTAAATCGGCTTGGATTTCTGGCAGTTGTGTTTCATTTCATGCGTGTCTTCGGCTGCGGCGTGTTCTTTGTACCTGCTGTGGAGTTAACGTTCGTCGCCGGCCGTGGGCTCCTGTGTCTGTGTCCCTGGCAGACGTCGCTCGGTGCCCTGGTGTGGACGTGGGGCGTCCCGGCCCCTGCTCCCCAGAAGGATGACGTGCGAGGCCGGTGCAATGCCTGAATGTTTGAGCAGTTCGTCCCGAGACCTTTCGGGCCTGGCGTTTTCTCAGTGGGAGGTGCTTCGCACGATTTAATTTCTTTACTGGGCGTTACACTGTTCAGACTTTTCCATTTCTTTCTGGGTCAGTTTTGGGTAGTTTGTGTCTTTTATGGAATCTGTCCATTCCACGTAAGTTGCTTAACTTATTGGGGTGTAAAATCCGCCACAGGGTCCTCTCAGTGCCCGTGGGGCCCGCAGTGACGCTCTGGACTCGTTCCTGAGGTTTTAAATTTGTACTTTCTCTCCTTTTCTTCCCTCCGTCCGGTTTGCTAGGGCTGTCGGTCAGCTTCGTCTTTTCACGGACGCTTTTCCCTTTGCGGACCTCGATCTTGTTTGTCGCCCGCCCCTGTCCACTTCCTCCCCCGGTGGGGTCCTGCTCCTCCTCCCGGTCGCCACGGTCGCCACACGCTCAGACCATCCGCCTCCAGCCTCCCTCCTCCTTCTCTCGCAGTCAGTCCGCTTGGGGCGCGCTTGCTCCCACACCTGGCTCAGGCAGTAGCCCACACGTTTTGATACATTTTAGTTTTTCTGTAGTTTAAAACACTTTCTCATTTTCTTTGTGAATTGTTCTTTAATTTATGGTGTTTAAAAGTATATTGCTCAATTCTTCACTCTTTCAAGATTATTTTTAAATACCCTGTTTTTGTTGGTTGCTAATTTAATTTCTTCATGCTTACAAAACACGCTGTCAGATTTCAGTGTTTTGAAACATATTGGGACTTATTTTATGGCTAAGCATGCGACTTACCTTGTTAAACATTGTAACTTAATTTTACGGTGGTGGCGGTGGCGAGTCCAGGCACCCCCGGTCCCTGTGCTGGGAGGGTGGAGCGCGGGCCTCGGGCCTCAGGCCGAGGTCGTTTGCAGACTTCCCAGGCTCTTCCGCCCACACGGCCACCATCTCAGCCGGTCATCAGGTGACCTTAAAGGTGTGCGTCCACTTTGCTCGAGCACGCTGCTGCGGACGCAGCTTCCCAGCGCTTTTTAAACCTGCCCGTGTGCCTACTTCCACATCGGTTTTGGAAGACGCTCTCGTCGGGCCTGAGTTCTGAACTGACAGCTTTGTCCCGGCACCGAGAAGGTGCTGTGGCGTCGGCGGGGAGTCCTCATTGCGTGTGCGGAAGGGGCAGCTCGTGCTCCTGCCCCGCCCCCTTATGTGCGGTGCGCCTTTATCTCCAGACACTGTTACGCTCACGTTGCTTTGCCGCAGTTCGACTGCGACGTGGCTTCCTTCGCATTTTCGCTTCTCGGGGTCGTTGAGTTGCTCACGTGTGTGCAGGCATCTTTCGAGAGACTTGGGTGCGGTCCTGGCTGTCATTTCCTTTGAACACTTTTTCTGCCCCGTTTTCTTCTCTGCTTCTGGGGTGGCAATCAGGTGTCTGATAGACCGGTGTTGTCTTCATGTCGTTGAGCCTGTGGTTTAAAGACAAAAACGAAACCAAAAATACCTCTTTTTCCAGCTTGGATGATCGTTCTTGATCTGTCTTGAAGGTCGCTTTACCTGTTGTGGGAGTGTTTTTCTTAAATAGTATTCCATCTTCTGTGGTAACTATCTCATAAAAATTGTAAATGCAGATGCTCTTCTTTCTGCTCCAGAATTTTCATTTGGTTCTTTTCCACAGTTTACATTCTGTCTGCCGAGATTCCCATCTGCTCACTCATTGTGCCCATCTTTTTCTTGATGACCTTGAATGTGCTTATGGTGACAGCTCAGCACCTGTGTCTGCTGACCGCACATGTGGGTCATTTCCCCGTCTGTTGCTGTTGACAGGTGTCACCTGAGGTTGCTGGCTCCCCTTCTCGGAACACTAGTTACTGAACCTCATTAACAGGCTCATGGCTTTCGCTGTCTTCTCTGGCCCCTGCCTCTTCCTCGGCCCCAGACGGGGCCGCCTCCTCATCCGGATGGGACTCCAGGTCTCCAGCATGCCCCCCCCCACCTTGTTTCCTGCCCGCAGGAGGGAGTGAGTAAGCTGCCCACGTTCCACTGCGCCCCCGCACCTGTCCTCCCGTTCTCTCCTCTCCTGCGTTCAGGCAGCAAAGGAGGGTGAGTCCAACCTAGTCACTGTGTCCAGGCCGGAGGCAGAACCTCAGACGCGGTTTGACAGCCGACTGGATCACCCAGCTTGCACCGATGTCTAACCAGGCACCCTCCGCGGTGAGGTCTGTGCCGGCCTCAGGCTTTGCAAGAGGAGGGGTGTTTGGGGTTCAGCACCTCTGTCTGCAGAGCTCAGCAGTTAGACATCAGTGCAGGCTTGTGGAAGGTGACGGGTGTGCGTGCTAAAATAGAAAGAGCGCGCACCCTTGGATCCGCTGTTCTGCCCCTAAGCGTTCATCTGTGAAAGATTAGTCTAGGGCTAACCGGACTCGGCAGCCGCACGGGATCCCTTACTTCGTGCGAACTGAGAAACGTGTTTTCTGGAGGGGAACTGGGGCACAGCCGGTTTCAGCAGTTGGCTTTCCCGAAGGCCTTCCGAGCGTCTCCGTGCGCCGTTCGTGCTCTGCGGGTCCCCGTGGGCGGGGCGCTCATCTGTTCCGGTCTCCCACGGCGGGGCCCGTGTGACCCCAGGGTCAGGGCGTCTCCTGAAAGTGGGGGCGAAGGCATTTCAGGCGCAGACACTTCCTGGGCTTTTGGTCACTGGTGGCAGTGGGCTCTTACTGTGCCACTGGCCACAGTGCGCCCGAAGCTTCTTCTAGGAAAACAGTGTGACTCAGGCGGTGTTCTCTGGCCACAGGAAGAGGTGGGGAGAGGGTGCCGGTGAGGCAGGTGGAGCCTGTGCCCTGTGGTGGGCTGCAGTCTGCTGGAGCTGCGCCGGCAGGATTTTCCGTTGTCCGGGCTTGGGAATTGGCTCAGGTGGAACAGCAAGCGGCAGAGGTGGGGCTGGGCTGCATGTCCGTGGCCAAGGCCAGCCCATGTTCCCACGTGTCCTGCTGCCCCCTGGTCTGGAGCTGGCCTCAGCTGCTGCTCTTTTCCCCGCTGTTCTGACAATGTTTGGTGCAGGCCTGGTCAAACTCACGGTCAGTGCGAGGGGCGCAGGAAAACAGAGCCGGGGCTTGTGGCGGCAGAACTGTCCAGCCCTGGGACCAGCCAGCGATATGCAGGCGCCTCCACGCGTGGACAGGGTGGGCCCAGTTCTGTCCCTGGTGGGGAAGGGAGGGTCAGACCAGCGGCCCGCGAGCAAGAGGGGTCGCCCATGTGCCGCCCAGCAAGGGCGGGGCAGTGACCGTGCCACGGGCGCTGGGAAGTGTCCCCAGTGCGACAGAAGCACAGCGTCACAGTGTGAACGTCAGGTCTGGGGACACAGGCCGCTGGGCCCCGCGTGGTCTGCCGCTGCTTTATCACGGCATGTGACACGGGGATGTCTGTCTTTCTGCACCTGGTGGCCGCTCTGGGCACTGTGACACGGGGGACGCGGCCAGCTTTGGGGCCATGGGTGTGGGAAGGACAGTGCGGCGTGTCTCTTTCCAGGTGGGCCTGTTTCTGTAGCTGCGCAGGTGACTTCTGAGAACAGGACAGAGGAGCAGGGGGCCCAGGCAGACTGGCAGCACTGTCCGCCTTTGAGATTTGCAGTGATAACGTGTTTAATGCAGAACCTGCGTGATCAGGAATTAACAGAAGGACGCCTTTTTAAGAGGAGAACTTCCCGTCATCATGGCAGAAAGGCAGGCACGCTACCAGACACCGTGTGAGCCTCTGGGTCAGCCAGCCTGTGCGGTGACCGCAAGGTGGTGAGTGTCCCCTTGTCGCTGCCTGGAGCAAGCGTGTGGCTGTGTGTCTGAGCTGCGCCCGCACCTGGGTCCCCGTCCCCGTAGATGAGGGTACGGGCCGCAGCTGTGTTGTGAGGACTGAGGACGGGCCGAGTTGCCGAGGGAAGTGCCGGCCCGCCTCTGCTGCCGTCTTCACTCTGCACTTGTGTGCACTGGCCACTCTGCAGGGTGCCGGGTGCAGGAAGGTGGGCGATTGTCGGCATAGTGCTAGAACAGCACGTTCCCAGAACAGCCAGTCAAGCAGTCGAGGAAAATTCCCAGGGCTGGGCAGAGTGGGCGGGAGTCGGTGTGTGTCGGGTGCCGAGCCCTCCCTGCGGGGTGAGAGGAATTCCTGGAAATCTGGGGGCGGCTGTGTGAGGGCGCGTAACGCTGTGGAACCGCACAGGTGAGGGTGACTGCAGTGGCCTGTTCTGTTACCCGGTCATCACCAAAATTAAAACAGGAGGAGAAAGCAGGGGAGCAGGGAGGGAGGGCAGGGCAGTCTGTCTCGGAGTTGGTCAGTGTCCGTGGTGGGCAGGGCCCCCGCGGTTTGCCATCCTGTGATGAAACGCAGGGGTGTGCTTCCCGCTTCAGGGCACGAGGCCGGCGATAGCACCATCCTCCCGTGGAGGGGGCCTGGGGGTTGGGGGGCGTGGCCGGGCTTGCCCTGGGGCCCTTTGGGAGCTGCCCAGCTGTAACGGCTGCGCAGCCTCCTCCTCCCCCGAACGGTCCCTCCCTGAGCCCGCACAGCTTGGTGTGTGAGTAGACAGCACGTCGGCAGAGACCAGCGCTCAGACACGCAGTCACCGCTGCAGATGCCGGGCCCCAGTTGCCTCGGCTCTGCTCACCCTCCTGCTGCCCCTGCCAGGAGTGAGGTGTCCACACGCCCGTGTCTTTGTTCCCAAACAGGGTTCCTGTGACGGAGGGCTTTGCCCTCTGGCCCTTCACCCCTTGGTTCCTGCTTCCCCATCCCTGCCCCCGGGTCCTGAGTGCACAGAAGGACTGTGTGAGCGAATGAATGAGTGAAGACTCAGCACAGGGAGGAAATATGTGTGTTTGCTTGTTCTCGGCCGACCTGGTGTCGGCTGGCCCCGGAGCCACACGGCCAGAACGGCGGGAGCCTGTCTCCTGGGAGCTCCCGGGGCTCTCTGTGGGTTTGTCTGGATTGTCAGCAAGCGCAGGCCTGACGTCCACGAGTGATGGCAGTTCGTCCTTCCCCGCAGTCCCCTCCCGTTCGCCCACCCCGCCCCGGCGGCCCCGCCTGCAGCCCAGCACTGCCCGGCTCGGGCACTCTGCCTGGTTAAAGGCATTTCCTTCCGTGCCTAGTGTGCTCATTCAAAAAAGTCCTGAGGGCATGTGAATTTTAGGGAAGGCTGTTTCTCTACATCTTTGAGACCATCATAATTTTAAAACTTTTTTATATTTTGTCTGGCTGGTTCTCGGTTGTGTCCTGAAGCCTGAAAAGTCACAGGTTTGATTCCCAGCCAGGGCACATGCCTGGGTTGCAGGTCCAGTCCCCAGTCCTGGCGCATGCAGGAGGCAACCAACCGATGTTTTTCTTTCACGTCCCTGCTTCTCTTCCTTTCTCTCGCCCTCCCTTCCCCTCTCTTTGGAATCAATAAAATTAAAAAATTCTTTTTTACTTTTTACATTTGATTTTTAAAATATGAATCAACTTTATTTAGATATAATTAGCTCCAACAAGACATGTTCAAGTAGAGTTATATGAGCTTTAAAAACGTGTACACTCAGATAATGATGGTGGCCTGGGGCACTTGGAGGCCCCAAAGCTCTCCCCTGCCCCCGTGCAGCTAACCTCCGCCCCCAGCCCCCCGCCCCCCGCCCCACGGCTCTCGCCGACGTGTCTCTGGGCAGCGTAGACCCGCTGTGGCCGTTAGAAAATGCCACCCCGATGGCATCCTGCAGAATGCGCCGCTTTACACCCGGCCTCTCTCCCCGAGCCTGTTTGAAGCCACTCTGTGCGGTGCGTTGGCAGCCCATGCAGTCGGTGCCCATGGCCCGCCGCGCCGCAGTGCTGCCTGCGACCACCGCGGCGGCCGATGGACGTTTGGGTTGTTCCCGGCCCGGGGGCTGTCAGGAATGTCTGCACACGGGTGTGGGTGTGGCGGTGCGGTGACCAGGTGGTGGCCAGGTATCTCAGGGTCGCGCGGCTCGGCACACGGGCACCGACATTGCCACAAACGGCCAGACTTCCCCTCGGTGGTTGTAGCACTTCACACTCAGGTGTCTTTTAAGAGTAAAAGTGTTTAATTTTCCTGAACTCCAATTTTTTGTTTTCTGTTACAGTTGGTACCCTTCATGTTTGAAGGTATTTTTGTCCCAGGGATCATGAAGATTTTTCTCTTTCGTTCAGTTCCAAAAGTTCCACAGCTTTTAGCTTCAGCCTGTGATTTCACATCAGTTACTTTTATCATCGTCCCGGTAGCCGCCCGAGTTGACACAGGAAATTGCTTTTTACGGGCTTCGGGGGTCTGTCTGTTAGTGCCTTGTTCCACGTCTGTGCTTGTAGGTGAGGTTGGCCCGCGAGCGCCTTCTGGGTTCTGAGGTTCACCGGCCTCATGAAGTGTCGGAGCGTGTGCCCTCTGAGTTTTGCTCGAGGTAAATTTGAGTTTACTTGGTGATCTGTCCTTCTAGCTGAGGCCCAGACGACTCTCCAGTGTCCTCCGGTGGGAGGACGTTCTCCAGTGTTCGGGCCACTCGGCGAGCGGCGTGAACCTGGTGCGCTCCCGTCTGGCTCTCGACGGAGGGGCGCGGACAGCCGGGCACCAGAGTGAGCCCTGGGGCGCGCACGCGGGCCTCACCCACGCGGGCCTCACCGACGCCACACTCTGTTCCGTCTCTTGCAGGGAGATCGTGGAGCACATGGTCCAGCACTTTAAAGCGCAGATCTTCGGGGATCGGAAGCCAGTGTTTGACGGGAGGAAGAACCTCTACACGGCCATGCCCCTCCCGATCGGGAGGGAGAAGGTGGGTCCTTGGGGGCCGGCTCCGGCCTGGAGGTGGGGGGCTGCCCCCGGGTGCCTGGCTGTCTGCATCCAGAGGCAGCCACTGAGAACTTGACACCTCTAGGCTTTTAAATGGGGACCAGAGGCCACACGGGGGCCACAGGCCACTGCAGGCAGCAGTGAGTGGCGGCGGTGGGACGGCGAGCAGGGTGCCCTGCTGGTGTGGGGGTGTGTGACTGCAGCGGCAGCACCGAACTGGCAGCTGGCCTGAAAATAACCGTCAGCCAGGGTGCCCGCCCCGGTGCTGCTCGCACCGCAGGCGCCTTTCCTGTGGTCTGTCTCCCGCCGGGGCTCCAGTTGGAGAGCAGCCAAGTTTCTGCCTAGAAGTGGTCGCTCGTTGGCGTAGCGCCCGACAGGCGGGCTGCTCAGGATGGGGGCGTGTTTTTCGTGAGCGAGAGAGCAGAGGCTCAGCTCAGAACCCACCTCGCACAGACTTTGAAGGAGAGGAACCTGGGTCCCAGTGAGCAGGGGAAAGCCGGCTCCTTCGACAGCTGCTTTTTTAAAAGTGAGGTCTCAGTCCTCGGTAGAGAAGACTTCTTTTTTTCCAAAATTTTATTAATTAACTAATTTTTTTAGAGAATGGGCAAAGGGAGGGGGGAAGAGAGGGAGGGAGACGTCAGTGTGTGTTTGCCTCTCACACGCCCCCTACTGGGGACCTGGCCCACAACCTAGGCTTGTGCCCTGACTGGGAATTGAACCTGTGACCCTTTGGTTTGCAGGTGGGCACTCAGTCCACTGAACCACACCAGCCAGGGCAACACTTAGCTACTTAAACACTCAGGCCTCTGGGAGAAATGCAGCTTCGAGCCTCCGAGGGTCCCAAACGGCTCTCCTGCAGTCCAGCAACCTGCACGCTCACTCAGGCATTGCACTGTTTGGCTTTTGCATTTTAATGATTATCCTTGAAGGACTAAGCTCCTTTCGCCCATCTGGGTGGCAGGCAGGCTGGGTGGCTCTGACTCTGGGTTGTGGGGCCCTGATAAGCGGGGGGGCTGAGAGGAGAGGGTGATACCGCTGAGGGGAGGCGGGCGGGGATGGGGGCCCTGGGCCAGAGGTCCCCCGGTGACTCTCGGAGATAGTGCTGGCACCCTGCCTGGCACGGGGCGATGGGCTGCCCAGCCGGAGGGAGTGCCAGGGCCCTGCGCTGGCCGGGGCGGGAGAAGCACCCCTTGCAGAGTAGCGTGCTATGCACTTGAAATTGATTGACTGCAAAGCCTTGTGTTTAATTTGCACATTTGTTTTTGTTTAAAGTTGTGTGAGAAGGAAAGTATGAGGAGTTTATTCACAGTTTTGTCCGTATGTATTTATAACTATACAAGGGTGGGGTGGGGCATATTTTCTTCACACGGGGAGGGAAGCCAAGTGCTCTTGGGGTCTGAGTCGCGTCCCTGCAGACGTCAGCACCTCAGCCCCCAGGGAAAGAAGGTCTGACGGGAGTCCTTGCGTCTCCCTTCCTCGTGGTGGCACCCTGGGCAAGCCACCGCCACTGTCACATGGGGAGGCTGTATGGAAGCTGCCGCCCGGGCCCTCGTGCGGGTCGGAAGTGAGTGTCCCCCAAGAAGAGCTTCCCCTGGAGTGTCCCACGGCCCTGGGTCTCTGGGGAACTGCGTCCCCGTCCAGACCCCAGATTGTGCTGGTGGTTCAAGGCCCTGAGGCCCTCGACTGATTCTAGCAGCTGCTGTGGGGCCGGTGTCTGTCATCCTCACTCATGTCACTGCCCCGACACCCACAGGAGCCTGCGCACCGCCCAGCACCCGCCCTGTGGGCGCTCGGCGTCTCTTAAATTTAATCCCAATCATTCTTGCCCTATTTTAGGGCAATTTTAGAGAAGCTGCCCAAAGCTACCATGCCTGCCGCGGTGGGGGGGGGGGGCTCGATTGCTGCCTGCCCCCTGCCCGTCACTCGGGTCCTGTCTTGTCCTGAGGTGCAGAAGAGCCCCCCTGTGCTGCCTTTGCCTCCTGTAGCCAAGGACTGTCATCCTGCTCTTCTGTGTGTTTTTCTCCGTAAACTGTTTTCTTTGTTGTGTGGGCCTCTCTGCGGAAAAGGAGAGATGGGTCGTGTTGTGTTAAACCAGTGTCTGCCGGTGGCTGGAGGGGCCGGCGGCTGCAGCCCCTGGCCTGGGGCTCGTGGCCCGCACTCAGGGTGGCAGCTGTCGTCACCTACTCACCCTCCCTCCTGCTGGCCCGAGGCCTCTGTGCGGGCCGAGCTGCATGCTGTCGGCACTGGAAGGTTGTGCAGGGCACTAGCATTCTGTCAGACTGCCGGGTCCGTTTCAGCAGTGACACCATATGACCTGCAAGACAGAGTGGGTGTCCTGTGTCCCGGCGCTGGGTCTGCAGCTTCCTAGAGCTCCCGCCTCTCTGCGTGGGTCGGGGGGGGCATGCCGGGCCACATGCACAGCTTGAGTTACGGACAGTGCCACACAGGAGGCATCACTGGGGGAAGGCAGACTCCCACCAAGTCGCTGCTCAGTGCTCCTGCCTGTTCGACGCATTGGGCGTGTCAGGGCCACAAGTGCCCCGTGGTGACTGCTGACGGGTGTGGGGGTTCTGCACAGGGCAGCAGAGCTTCGGGAGGTTTGAGGAGAGGTGGGGGGCGGCAGGGAGCCTCCTCGGGTGCTCACAGGTGGGACGCTCAGCCCGTCTGCTCTTCTTTGGGCCTGACCTGCCACGTCTCAGGTTCGTGGTCCCTCTGGTGAGGTTGCGGTTGTCAGGGTGCTGCGAACCCGGCTGGCCCAGGATGGAGGCGCTCAGCCAGTTCCCATGCTGCACCTGCCGGCTTTACTCACCAGGGGTGACCTTGAACTCCCAGCATGCCCTCCGGACGTGCTGGGTGAGACGGGTCTTCTTCCTGGGTTATTTGGGGTGGGGGCAACTCGCCCTCTGAGGTGGTCAGCCCCCTGTGCACGTTTAAAACGCCTGCGTGTCCCCTTCCGGAACGGGCCGGGACCTGGGGCTCGGCACGAGACCTGTCTTCATCCCGGAGCTGCGCTCTTGCCGTCACAGTTCTGATCCCATTGCCCTGGCAGCTCTCAGAGCAAGGGAGCAGGTGTCGGGCCGGGTCTGACCGCTCTCGGCTCCTCGTGGGTGCTGGTGTGCTCGGCTGGCGTGAGTGACCCGTGAGGTGGGCCGGCCGCTCTCTTGTCCCAGAAGTGCATACGGGGAGCCCGATGCCACCACCCACCGTGGTCAGACCACAGGGGTGACGGCTGGGAGCCCTGTGTCCTGGGCCTATGGTTGGTGCTGCGTTACTGGCACTGGAGCCTCAGACTGGAGATGGAAGTGTCCTGGTTCACAGACCAGCACCACTGGCCAGCAGCCCAGATGGACATGCAGACTGTCCTCAGCCTGCGTCCCAGCTGCAGCCAGTGCCACCACGCCCCACATGGTGGACATCCTGTGGGAATGCCCATGGTCCTGAAGCTGTTAGATCCGGGTGCTCGTCTCTGGGGACACTGGCTGACAGAGGATGTCACAGGGTCTGGCCATGCTTCTCCCCCTTCTTGTGGGCCTGGAGGAGGCTGGCTCAGGGCCTGTTTGAAGGTGCAGGGGCCTCGCCCTGACCGGCGCAGCTCGTCTGGTTGGGAGCAGTCCCAGTGTTCGCCATCACTGTGCCGGGGGGGGGGCGTGAGGGTCGAGCGGGCCCCTCGGGGGTCCGCTCGGGTGAAGGACCGGTCTCCCTAACCCAGGAGTGTTCTGGAAGCCGGCCCACCACCTTCGACCTCCTGACGGCCTCTGCAGCGGGGAGTGTGCCTGACCGTGTGCTCTGGGCCCCCCAGGTGGAGCTGGAGGTCACGCTGCCGGGAGAGGGGAAGGACCGCATCTTCAAGGTGTCCATCAAGTGGGTGTCCTGCGTGAGCCTGCAGGCGCTGCACGATGCACTTTCGGGACGGCTGCCCAGCGTCCCCTTTGAGACGATCCAGGCCCTCGACGTCGTCATGAGGCACCTGCCGTCCATGAGGTGAGGACCGTCCTCCAGTGGGGACCAGAGCGCCGGGAGAGCCCGCGCTCGGCACGAGGAAGAGAAGGTGGCCGAGTCTGGTGGCGATGGTCACGTGGGTGACCAGGATGGAAACAGCAGCAGGGCTAACCTGGGAAACGGTTTACTTGTGGAAAAAAAATTCCTCAGAATTCGCAGCCCAGCCCAGAAAGGTTGGCGCCCCGTGCTGGGAGCTCGGCCCGTCTTGCAGTCGCCACACCGGCTAGTCCCAGTGGGGCGGTGTCCCGGTTCCGCAGGGGGCGGAGCTTCCCACGGGGAGGGCCTTTCAGGACAGCGGCAGCACCGCTTGCTGCCAGCTTTTGCTTCGTTCTGTGGGATTCCTTTCCCACACAAGTGGCCACCCGAGACCTTGGTGGGGCAGAGCATCGCTGTAATGGCTCATAGCCCGCCAGGCGGCTGGGCGAGGGTGCACTCTCTCCCAGGACGCCTGATCCTCGCACACGCCTGGCACACAGCCGATACTCGGGGGCCACATGGGTGCCCAGGGGAAAGAACCTCCTACGCTGACCCACAGCTCCGTGCTGACCACTGCCAGGACTGACTCGGGGGCAGCGTCCTGGGCATCAGCGGGGTCCCTCATTGCAGGTACACGCCCGTGGGCCGCTCCTTCTTCACCGCGTCTGAGGGCTGCTCCAACCCCCTGGGCGGGGGCCGAGAAGTGTGGTTCGGCTTCCATCAGTCTGTCCGCCCTTCTCTTTGGAAAATGATGCTGAACATTGATGGTAAGCAGAGCCTGGTCTTCCCTGGGGGGTGGAGGGCTTGCTGCGGCACAGAGGTCTTCGTTGGGGGCCCGTCTCTGATGGGGCCCCAGACGCTGCGGCTGGTGTCCCCTGGGGGCATCGTTCTTTTGTGGGGGTGGCAAGTGGACATCCCACTGTCCCTGTCTGGTCAGTCCCCTCTCTCCAGTGTGGTTGTTGGTGTGGCCCCAGGTCTGGCGGGTAACACCAAGGGAGTTGGGGGGGGTCCGACCTTCATGGTCGCGTCGCGAGGTGGGGTTTGTTTAAAACCTAGTTTTCTGCTCAGAGGGCGTTTCAACTCCAGCGGCCCCTTGGGGCTGCTTGGGGCCAGGGGGTTATCGGGCAGCCTGTGCTGGGGCCAAGCCCCCACGGGTAAGGAGGACAGAGCGTGGGCGCCCCCAGGTGGCCAGCTGTGGGAGGGTGCGGCCGGGCCGGCCCCGTCAAGCTCCTCGGCCTGTCTCTCTGTTCCCGCCTCCAGTCTCGGCAACTGCGTTTTACAAGGCACAGCCCGTAATCGAGTTTGTTTGTGAAGTTTTGGATTTTAAAAGTATTGAAGAACAACAAAAACCTCTGACAGATTCCCAAAGGGTCAAGTTTACCAAAGAAATCAAAGGTAGGTGTCAGCCCCGTGCCCGCGCGGCCCTGCCTTCCCAGCCCGGCGGGGACTCTGCCGCCGCGGGGTCTGAGGGGCGAGGCCGCCATCCGGTGGGTCAGTGTAGGGCGCCGCCAACTGGCCTGGCAGGGTGGGCTCAGTCACGTCCTCGTCCTGAGCGCATGGCTGCAGGGCGCGGAGCGTGGGTGTCGGCAGCGCCTCACGACTCACAGGATGCAGCGCAGCGCCGTGCCCGCCTCGCCGCACCGAGGCCCTGGCGCAGCCACGCCGGTTCTGCCTGGTGGCAGCTCAAGCAAGTGCAGGCCAGGGCTCAGTGGCCTGGCCCCAGCCCCCTGCACCTGTCCCTGTCCGAGGCCTGGGGCAGCACTGGTTGCTAAAAATAGCACGAAAGGAGGTGCCGAAAGCCCTGGTGGCCAGCTCAGCCTCCAGACTGAGCCAGACACGGCCCCTCCTCCCCCAGAGCAGTGTCCCAGCTGTGGCCTTGGCATTGCCGGGGCAGAGGGCATCCCCGAGAGCAAGCCTCTTCCAGCCCCGTGTCACCCTTCCCTGGCGCTCCAGAGTGCCCAGCGTGGGCCTGGCGGCGGCTCCCACCGGAAGCAGAGGGGCAGGCCTCGGGACTGGCTCTGCGGGCCGGGCGGGTCCTGACCCTGCGGCCGGCTGCTCTGTGCCACCAGGTCTGAAGGTGGAGATCACGCACTGTGGGCAGATGAAGAGGAAGTACCGCGTCTGCAACGTGACCCGGCGGCCCGCCAGCCACCAAACGTAACCGCCTCCCCCACGTGCTCGGGACCCCTGACCCCAGTCTTGACCCCTGACCCTCACTATCAGCCTGAGGCCCCAGCTCAGGAGCAATGGCTCTTCTAGGAAAGTGATTTCAGAGCCACACCTTCAGCTCAGGGGACCCCAAACCACCTAACAGAACACTGGGCGCCCCCAGGGTAGGATGGGGTTGGGTGAGGGCCCCCCACCAGCCAACTGTTGCAGGTGAGGGGGAAGCTCTTCCTTGCTCGGAGCCTCCAGCACACACTGCTGGGGGAGGTCCCCGGGCACGACCCCCACCCATCCTAGGCTGTGCTTCTGCCCTGACCTCACTTGCCGCTTTGGTCTCCAAAACTGGGTAGTAACTGGCCTGGCCACAAGGACTGTCCCTGGGAGCATGGCCCCTCATGCCTCCACCTGCCCACAGGGCATGGCTGTGGGTGCCCTGGCAGACTTGCCCGGCCCTCTCCTGGGCCCATCCTGGGAGGCTGCAGGGCCTACAGGGTGGGATCGCATGGCCCTCAGGGTGGGAGCAGCCGGAAAGCCCACAGCCTCCCTTTCTGGACACGCCCCCATTTGCCCTGAACTCCCGTGTCCGCGGCAGCTGTCGGGTGTCGCCTGTAGCACACCACAGGCAGGGGGGTGTCCTTTTGTGCCCCAGCTGTAAAGGGAGTACGGGAGGCGAGGGCTCAGGAATATTCCAGGTGACCCAGAGGGCATGTTGCATTTGTCCCCCGGCCTGAGAGAGCAGGTCCACCTTTGGGGCCTGGGTATGCAGCTCGGGCAGGGGGCGGGGCCCTGCCGCCTGCCACCTGCCCACAGGCCAGTGCCTCTCTGCCCCCAGGTTCCCGCTGCAGCAGGAGAGCGGGCAGACGGTGGAGTGCACGGTGGCCCAGTACTTCAAGGACAGGCACAAGCTGGTGCTGCGCTACCCCCACCTCCCGTGTTTACAGGTCGGACAGGAGCAGAAACACACCTACCTTCCCCTGGAGGCAAGTCCTCTCCCGCTCGGCCCCGCCCCCGCCACGGTGGGGGGGGGGCTCTTCGGTCAGGGCCTCTGGCGTGTGAAGACAGGGCGTGCGCTGGGTCCCTGGCGCAGGATAGAAGGTGCTCGGAAAATAAACTCGTTCGCTCACTAGAAAATTCCTTGCCTAGGAAGAGGGCCCACAGGTCCTTGGTGGTTGCCTTTCACTCCTGATCAAGGGCCAGGTGGGACCCCCTGCGGTGGTCCGCAGGTGGACTTCCTTCCCCCTGGCGGGCAGCTCTGTGTCCCCACTTTCTGAGGACACAGCGCCCACACTGGTGGTCTTGGAGGCTGCACTCTCTACCTGGGCAGCTGCCAGTGGGGTCATGAGTTACATGGGGGTGCTGCTGCCGGCCACCTGGCCATTGAGCGGCGTGTGCAGGTGTGCCGTTTGCGAGCGTCCCGGGCACCGCTGGCGTCCGCCTGGGCCCCGGACAGAGCAGGCACCCCGCCCACACCCCTGGCCCTGACACCGGGCCGGCGGCCTTCCCTGTAGGTCTGCAACATCGTGGCCGGACAGAGATGCATAAAAAAGCTGACCGACAATCAGACCTCAACCATGATCCGAGCGACCGCCCGGTCGGCGCCCGACCGGCAAGAAGAGATTAGCAAACTGGTGAGTGTTGCGTCGCTGAGGCCAGTCGTGGGGCAGGACTCCCTCGGGGAGCCCATCGGCACAGGGCGCCCAGGGCCAAGGGCAGCGGACGCTCGGACGGGGAACAGAGCTTATTTCTAAAAGTGCTGGCTTCTGCGAGGACGCCCAGACGCCTCTGAGCCCGCCCTTCCTCCCTCTCCTTTTGCAGATGAGGAGCGCAAGTTTCAACACAGACCCATACGTCCGGGAGTTTGGAATCATGGTCAAAGACGAGATGACAGACGTGACCGGGCGGGTCCTGCAGCCACCCTCCATCCTCTACGGGGGCCGGGTGCGTGCCTGCCGGCCAAGCGAGGGTGCTGTGGGCATTTGGGGGGTGTCTGGGTGCTGACTGCAGAGCAGCACTGGCGACCCCTTTCAGGTCGGAACTGCCCGCAGAGCTTTGGACTGTGTCCCAGGCGGAGAGCTGCTTCTGCCCAAGCCCGAGCCTTCAGGGGCCTTCCCGAATGTCCCGGGTCCCTTCAGGAGGTTTCCAGAATTAGCCTTCATCTCTCCAAAGGTCCTTCTTACTAACCAGTGAGAGTGTCAAGGATGCTGTTCTTTGTATGGTAGGCACCCTGCCAGGGAGGCGCTGCTTTCCGGAGGCCCCGCTCTCCTGGGGCCTGGCTTGGCTTTGGAGGTGTCTGGGGACAAGTGAGCAGAGCCGTTTGCGGGTCTGTGTGGTTGTGCCCATTGACCCTCGAACCTTCTTCAATGTGTAATCAAAGGTGTCCTGACCCCCACGCCCCCGCACACTGTGAGGGGCCTCCCTGCCGCCTCCTGGCTGATCCCCTAGGTGCAGGGCACAGCATCGTGGGTGGGCAGCCTCGGCTTCCAAGGCCACTCACTGCCTGGCGCCCCTGTGAACACGGAGGAACCCTGACACGCACCTTCTTATTGGGGGGCGTTCACTCGGGAGCATCAGTCCTCAGGACCTCTGGCAAGGTCTCGTCATGTCTGTGGGCTTGTTTCCTTTCATGTTTTAAAATGTAAGGTTTTTAAAAATGTTTTAAAGCTCAGAAGGTACAAAGGGATTATAGGAATAAGTCTTATTTTTTCTCAGCTCTCAGTTGCTCCCCAGGAAGCGATCGGTGTTATTTTTCTCCTTTGTAAAATTCCCCGGGGATGAGTCACATTTTTCCCCTCTTCCTCTGCAGACAGCATCTTTAGGGTGCTCTGTGCCTCACTTTGTCACTTAGTACTTTCTCCTGGAGCCCCCGGAAACCCGGAGATGGTTTAGTGTGCGGTGTGGAGCGACCCCTTCTCACCGCGGTGCTGCTTTGTCCGGGCGTCTCCCTCCTCGTCTCTGGGTGGGGTTGTGCCCACCCCACTCCCGTCCCCACGCACCTCTGCATCGCCCGTCCTTCCGCCTGCCCGCCCTACAGCCACCCGTCCGTCCGTCCACTCTCCGTCCACCCACCTGCCCGCCCTACAGCTGCCTGTGGGCCCCCTGCCGCACTGGGCAGTCGGGTGGGGACAACACAAAGACTCGGGTCCTAGGCTGCGGAGCCACTGTCTGGTCGCAGGGCCAAGAGCAGTTTGGACAGCGACAGAGTCCAAGGGTGGAGGCCTGGCCCCATGTCGGCTCACTCTGCGTGCTGTGCCGTTTGCAGAACAAAGCGATCGCCACCCCGGTCCAGGGCGTCTGGGACATGAGGAACAAGCAGTTTCACACGGGCATCGAGATCAAAGTGTGGGCCATCGCCTGCTTCGCACCCCAGCGCCAGTGCACGGAGGTGCACCTGAAGTAAGGCCGCCGCGGGCGGGCCGGTTGTGCGTGGGCTGCAGGGGCAGCCTGGGCTGGGGGGCCCCTTTCCCGGGCATGGAGCAGCGGCCAGGCAGCAGGGGCCCCTCCACGGCACTTCTCCTTGGAGCTGTTGTCGGGGAGGAAAGAAACAAAACAGCAAATGATAATGAATAAAAATTAAAGACAAAAGAAAAGTCGGGTTCAGGGAACAAAGCTAATTTTTAAAAATACTGGAGCCCTGGCTGGTCTGGCTCAGTGGATTGAGCACTGGCCCGCAAACCAAAGGGTCGCTAGTTTGATTCCCAGTCAGGGCACACGCCTGGGTTGCGGGTCAGGTCCCCAGTAGGGGGTGCATGAGAAGCAACCACACACTGATGTTTCTCTCCCTCTCTTTCTCCTTCCCTTCCTCTTTCTCTAAAAATAAATAAATAAAATCTTTTTTAAAAAAAGAGCCATTGGAGCCACATATTCCCGTGGGTCAGTGAGAAGGAGCAGTTGGAGTCCCAGTGGGAAAGACGTTCAGACACAGGTGGGGGCGGGCAGCGGCACCTCACTTCTTGGACGAGGGAAGCAGCAAGAGACCAGCCGGTGAGCGCGGCCCTGGCCAGCTCTCCTGGAATAGCGTGTCCCCTCCAAGCCCAGGAGCCCAGGGAGGGGCCTGGCCAGTGGAGGGCCCTTGGAAAGCAGCGCCACACAAACCACAGGGCCGATTCACGTGCTTCTGTGCCAGGCAGACCAGCGGGAAGGGGAGCTTTGGCTCCCACCTTTCTTGGGTGGAGCCAGGAGGGAAAAGGCAAAGCCCAGGAAGCGTGGCTCGTGAGCACTTAAGCAGAGGTGGTTCTGCGGGGCCTCGGCTCCCGGGACGCTCTTGAGAGCCGACATCGAGGGCAGGAGGCTGTCCCCAGCAGGCACTCCCTGGTCCTGCTGCCCAGGGCCAGCGGGCAGCACAGAGAGGACTCAGGAAGCCACGTCCAGGCTCCACCTCTGGACCCTGGGCCACCCCCCAACTCCTGCACCTGCCCCCAGCTCTGCATTAGCTTTTGCCTGGAGCCAGGTGGTCGTCCCTCAGTGAAACGAAACGAGGAGATGTGAGTGGGGGTGCACACCCATGCGTTTCTTTGAGGCACTGACGTGTAGCAGGCTGAACACCACCTGGCTAGGCTGGGCCGGAGTGTCCTCACCACCACTGCGGCAGGCGATGGTTATTTTTACTCTGGAGCCTAAAATAGAGGCCGCTGAGCCGTCCCCCAACTTGCCCTGGCTTCGCGGGCCTGCTGGCAGCCGCTGCTGGTGCCGCTCCCGCTCTCCTGTCCTGTTTTCTCCACGATGGTGTCACCCACGTGTCCCAGTTGTACTCACGGGAGTAATGGCATCCCTCCGGCTGCTCGGCATCGGTGGCGTGAGTGCTGGGTGTGTGGATGGAGTAGCCTGGGCAGGCCCGCAGGAGGTGGCATGTGGTCACCGAGCGCCAGGAAGGTCACCACTGGGAGGCAGCGCAGACACTGAAGTCCTGTTGTCTGGTGGCAGAATGGCCACAGGGCCTTCCCAGTAACCCGCACACAGGCTCCGCCTGCAGCCTGGGTTTCCACAAGTTGGAGTGTTGGTGTGGCTTTTCCACTGAGATTCCACTCCGCCGTCAAAGCGGAGTGGGTTTCGGTCTACAAGCGTGGTGCCCTGGCCTTGCTTGGGGCCCTGGCCTCGGGTCCGTGGCGTGCTCTTAGTGCGGCAAACCTCCTCCTCAGGTCCTTCACGGAGCAGCTCAGAAAGATCTCAAGAGACGCCGGGATGCCGATCCAGGGCCAGCCGTGCTTCTGCAAGTACGCACAGGGCGCGGACAGTGTGGAGCCCATGTTCCGGCACCTGAAGAACACCTACACCGGCCTGCAGCTGGTGGTGGTCATCCTGCCTGGCAAAACCCCCGTCTACGGTAGGCCTCCGGCCGTGCGGCCAGCCCTGGGGGGTGGCCGTGTCCTCCTCGACACTCCTGGCCACCTGAGCCCTCGTGTCCGTGCCACGTGGAGGAGGTGCTCCTTTTGGATGCATTTGCGTGCTGAGAGAGATGGGGGCCGCCTCGCCAGTCTTGTCCGAGGCCACAGCTCCTGAACACCAGCATGTCCAGGGTGGACAGGGTGCGGTTGTCCCGTCCACCGCCCGATACGGGTGCTGGCTGGGCAGGCACAGTCACGCCCTGCACACAAGGGGGGCCCCTGTGGTCAGCGCCGGCTCCGTGGCCTGGTCCTGTGTTTGCGGTCACCGTGCCCTGCTCAGACTTCTCCGGAAGTTCCCGAGTGCTTTGTACCAGGAAGGCAGGGTGCACTCATTCAGCCCAAACTGACCGGCCTGGGTGAGGGTGAGAGCCCAGGTCCTCCGTCTCGGCTGCTCCCAGGAGAAGGGGAGGCAGGCGATGACAGGGAGGGACGGTGGTCACTGAGGCCCGTTGGAAACGTGGGCTCCCAGTCGAGTGGCATTAGGGCCGTGCCCTGCAGGTGGGCACAGTGGGGCAGAGGCGCCGCCAGCCAGCCCCCGTGTCGACTGCACAGGGCGTGGCCACTGAGAGGCCCTGCTTCTCCTCCCGGTCACGGTCCGAGTAAAGCAGGAAAGAGGGCCCTGTCCGTGCCCCACCCCGTGGGTCTCTGGGACAGCCCAGGAGCAGCCCGGCTGCTTTGAGAAAGAGCCCAGAGGCGGAGGCCCTGGGCCGGGCCTGGTCTTTGGTGTCGGGCTGGCCCAGGCCAAGGGTGAGGGGGCTTCTGGTGCATTTGGTTTTAACTCCAAGCACCTCCTTGTCCCCCTGGGTGCAGTGGTGGAAGGCTGTCAGCCCTACACCGGGAGTGAGCCACGCTGACCTTGCCTCCCTGGCTGAGGGGGGTGAGGCTTCCGCAGGCAGGGCAGACGGGCCGTGCTGGGGCCAGAGCTTGAACCCGTAGGTTATTAGCACCCCACCACCTCTGCCAGGCCCCTACGCTCCCAGGCTCAGCCACGGAAGGGGCGGGCAGAAACTCGGCGGTGGGCGTACACCACATAGCCCTCCGCAGCATCCGGGCAGCCAGGTGGGGCACTAGCTGTTGCCTGTGCCTTCTGTGCCCGCAGCCGAGGTGAAGCGCGTGGGGGACACCGTGCTGGGCATGGCCACGCAGTGCGTGCAGATGAAGAACGTGCAGCGGACCACGCCACAGACGCTGTCCAACCTCTGCCTGAAGATCAACGTCAAGCTGGGCGGCGTGAACAACATCCTGCTGCCCCAGGGCAGGTGAGGCCGGCCCGCCGCCCCGGGTGGGCACCCACAGTGCAGGCCCCCAGTGACGCTGTCGCCCACGGAGAGGCCACAGGGTGTGCTCGGAGGTGGTGCGGTCAAGCAGAAGGACCCTGGGCTCTGGGACCGGGGTGGTCCGGCTCACACGGTTCCCGGGAGTGAAGCAGGCCCCAGGGGACACAGGCGGTGGGCCGGACATTCCCCACCCCACCCCCCCGCAGTTCCGTGTCGGCTGAGTGTCAGCCGTGGCAGCGAGCACAGGGACCCAGGCGAGCAGCTGCGCTGGGGGTGGGGGTGGGGCCGGAGTTCCTGTGCTGTGGGCACTGGGAGCAGGGTCTCCCCTGGGGGAGCCCGTGGGGGGGGAGAGGGCCAGAGGGTGCCCTCGGGCAGGATGCGGCCTTTGGCTGTGGTGGGTGAGGATGTGCTCCTCCGACTTTGCTCCCTGAGGGACCTGGCCCCAGGCCCAGCAGGGACCAGGAATTCTCCCAGGAGAGCCCTGGGGGTGGGGGCAGGGCCGAGAGACCAGCTGGGTGTGGGCTATGAGGGAAAGAGGAGACTGGGGTGAGTCCTGTGCCCCACCCAGCCTGTGGAGAGAGAAAGCAGTGTTCGTGGGGGAGTGAGCCTGCGGGGTCTCTGTTGGTCTCCGAGGGGAGACAGTGGGCATGAGGGGAGGCAGTCTGGTGTCAGGGATGCAGGTTTAGGCATCCTGGCATAGAGGGTGGGGGACCTGGGAGGGTGTAGACAGGAAGGATGGGGACGGCTGGGGGCAAAGGTCACAGAGGTGAGGAGCTGGCAGTGGAGCTCGCTGAAAGGGAGGGAGGGGCCTGGACCCCAAGGCAGGTTTGTCCTGGGGCTGGACCAGTGGCTGGGCAAGGACACACAGGTTGTGGTGACCTTGCAGAGCAGAGTCTGGTTGCCATGGCAGCATGCACAGTAGGGGGCGAGTGCCAGAGCGAGGGGGGGGGAGCTGTGAGTGGCTCCGCCCACTCCGGGAGCTCTGCTGCAGGTTTGCCTGGGAGGGTGTGAGTGAGGGCAGCTGCGGATGCCGCTCAGAGTAATGCAGCAGGGGGGGCTGAACAGCAGGTGGGAGGCGGGACCCCGGGCACCTGCACCCCCCTCACTGCCGCAGGTACCCACCATCACTGGTGGAGAGCAAGGGCTGTGTGGACGTTCACGGCTTAGAGAGGCTGTGGCATGGCCTCTGAGGGCCCCCACAGCCCCCAGCATGGCAGGCCAGGCAGGCAGTGCGGCCGTGGGCCGTGCCCCGCTGTCTCCTCTGTGCAGGTGGGGCGGGCGGCAGTGGCTCAGGGTGTGCCCCACAGCTGCGAGTCTCGCGCTTCGGAAGAACGCAGCTTTCGGATGTCCCCCGGGGACACCCAGAGCTGCCAGGGTTGCTGGAGCCACGCTGGGGGTGGGAGCGGGGAGCCTGCCCACGTTTGTGGGCACTGACTCGGGGTGCACGCCTAAGACACCCCTTCCCCCCCATGCCACGGGGACAGCCTCAGCTCAGGGGGTTCCCAACAGTGTGTCAGGGGTGTTGGGCGGCTCCTTGTGAGCACTGCCGGCAGGAGTCTTGAGGAGATGAGGCTCCTGTTGGCACGTTCCCCCGGGGGCTGGAAGCACCCCGTGCTTCTGGTTGGGGCCAGGAGGACAGCAACCCTGGCACTGACTCTGGCTCCCAGCGCAGGGCAGGGGCGGGGCAGGCCTTTCGAATGCAGCTGACCTCCGAGAGCTCCCCTGTGGCCCTGAGGGTAAGGGAACCAGGTGCGGGGGGGGCTGTGGGCACCTGGGGTCCCTGCAGCTGGCCGGAGAGCCCCGGCCGGGCTGCTACGCACGGCGCCTCCACGAGGCCACGGCTGCGGGGGACCGTCAGCTGCGTGGAGACCAGCAGTGCTTCCCCGCTGGGGCATTTGACATTTCTGGTGTCCGGACTTGGGGTGTCGCTGTGCCTCTGGGTGGAGAGCAGAGGGGCCGCTGCCCTGGAGGAGGGAGGCTGCCAGTTCAAGAGGGAGGAGCAGACGGCGGCCACTCAGCCTCTTTTATGTAACCATTTCGGGAACTTGTAAACATGTGCCCGGGCGCCCGGGCCTGGCCCACGGCCCCCGCACCCCCCCCACCGGGTGCCCCTGGAGCGGGTCTCGGGGGGGGGGGCGTTACCTGAGGGGCTCTCCGGGAGCATCCTGACCTGGGCCCCTGTGCTCCCCCCGCAGGCCGCCTGTGTTCCAGCAGCCCGTCATCTTTCTGGGGGCCGATGTCACACACCCCCCAGCTGGGGACGGGAAGAAGCCTTCCATCGCTGCTGTGAGTGTCCACACCTTCCACTGGGTCCTGTGTGGGTGACGTCCCTCCCTGAGCTGCCCATGGGAGGGGCCACGGCCCACTGCAGCTGTGTGGCTGGAGCTTTCTCTTCCGAAGAGCAGTGAGGTTTGAGAACTAGCAGCTGGTGGGATCAGAGTCCCCTGGAAAATAGGTGTTTCGGGGACACAGCAGGTGGTACATGCGTCGGAGAGAAGTAAGAGATGTGTGAGTTGGCGCTGTCCCCAAAACCCCGGACCAAACCACACTGTCCCTACGACAGGCTCCCAGGGGGCCTGGGGGCCTCACCGCCCCCGTCTCCATCACAAAAGGCTGAGGGTGAGACAAGGACACGGGCGGGAGCTCAAGGCCCTCTCTCTTGTCCCGGCCCCTTTCCAGACTCCTTGAGGTGACTGACTGACTGTCTTTGTGACAGGGGTGTTCACGGGCTTGAACAGAAGTCCTTCCTGCCTCCTTCCTTTGTGATTGTCATTGGGGAGGGGGTGGGGCAGCCTTGATTCACAGGTGACAGTCAGCTGGCCGTCCACCCCGCCCTCGGAGCTGAAGGCGCCGGGAGCTGCGGCGGGACTGGGAGGGTGTGTGTGCGGGGCAGTGTGGGCACCACCGTGGAGGGCCGAGGGCACGGCTGCTCCCTCGGAGCCCCACTGCGGGAGACCCCGGCTTCCCCGGGGGGCACTCCCTGCCTGTGCGACGTTTGGGGAATTGTGTATTTATTCGTCATTTGCGGAAACCAACATTTGGGGTTGTTTTTTTACTTTTTTAGCCCAGGGCAGCTTGTGTGTCCTGTCCCTCACTCCCTCCAGATGCATCAAATAACACTGGCATTTTCTGAGCACCTCCTCTGCCAGTCCCTGGGCTGCATGCGCCACCGCATCGGCTCCTAACCTGGCGAGGACGCTGCCAGTTTCCTCCTCCCCGCCCCTCCCCCGAGGAAGTTGGGGTGGCTGCGCACCCTTCTGCTAGAGAGGCAGCAGAAAGCGCACACCGCCCCCCCCAGCTCCGGCCCTCCCGGACCCCTACGAGCACGCCCCTTGTCCAACAGGTTGTGGGCAGCATGGACGCCCACCCCAACCGCTACTGCGCCACGGTGCGGGTGCAGCAGCATCGCCAGGAGATCATCCAGGACCTGGCCGCCATGGTGCGCGAGCTGCTCATCCAGTTCTACAAGTCCACGCGCTTCAAGCCCACTCGTATCATCTTCTACCGCGACGGCGTGTCCGAAGGGCAGTTTCAGCAGGTGGGCACCTCCTGGCTCCTTCTCCGTCCTCAGAGAGTCTGAGACCCGCCTTTCCCCCGGCAGAAGGGCTTCCCGGGTTCTCTGCAGAAGAGGGTGGCGTGGTTTCTGTTCGGCCTCAGTGTCTGTCTGGGCCCAGTGGGGGGGGGGGGGGGGGGCGGGACAGTGACGTGGTGGGGGACACAGGCAGGGCCGGTCTGAGGCCTGGAGGGCTGCCCGCTGGAGCGACATGCTCCCGGGTACGTCCCTGTGGCACCTTGTGACCGCTGTGTGGAGGCCGTGGGGACCCTCTGCACCACGCAAGGTGTTCTTACACGTCACCTCGTTTCAACTCTTAAGCATGAAGCCTGGGCGCTGTTCACGCCGTTCTGCAAGGGAAGCAATGGGCTTGGGACGGCAGAGGCCCAAATGTCTGTGTCCAGTGCCGTGTGTCTTTAAGGGACTTGCACCATCAGGGTGGCAGTGCCCTGAGCGTGTCCCCCTCCCCCAGGTGCTGCACCACGAGCTGCTGGCCATCCGCGAGGCGTGCATCAAGCTGGAGAAGGACTACCAGCCAGGGATCACGTTCATCGTGGTTCAGAAGCGGCACCACACGCGGCTCTTCTGCACAGACAAGAACGAGCGGGTGCGTCTGCGGCCGGGGTGGGGGCCTCTCTGCCCCGGGCCCTGGGGAGCCCTGTCCTGGGAGGGCTGTGTGGGGACCTGGTTTCTTGGGCCTTGGGGAAGGGGTGTCCTCTGCCAGGCTGGGGACTCCTCCACCCCAAGCCCTGTGGTTGGAGGGCTGTGTGGGGACCTGGCCTCTTGGGCCTTGGGGAAGGGGTGTCCTCCATCCAGTGCGAATCTGGACCTGGAAACCCCAGAGGTCTGGATCTGGGGGACAAGACCAGGCAGAGATGTCACTGGTCTGATAAAGATATGACCGGGGAGGCAGCCGTGAGAAAGAACCAGTCAGTGGGCGCCCACGCTCGTAAAGAGAGCGTGGAGAGAACCTGGGGACCTCAGGGAGGCTGGGGCGAGAGGTGGGCCGTCCGGCCTCGCAGAGTGGGAAGGGCACAGAGCAGACGCGAGGCAGCGGCCGTGACACTGCAGGAGGCCTCCCAGGTGAGGAACGTGGGACCCTCAGGTGGGAGAGCCTTCCTCGCTCCCAGCGGGGTGCACACGAACCAGTCCTCGCCACCCAGCGCCGTGGGGCCTCAAGCAGTCTGCCTCAGGGAGGGGGGCTCTCAGAGGAAGGCACGTGGACGGGCAGAAGGCGGCCCTTGGACCGGCCCCGCAGGGCCAGACGCCAGTGGGTTCCCGTCCACACAGTGCTGAAGGCAGCTGTCACGACAGATGCCGGCACCACACTGGGGGCACAGCGCGGGGCCGGGTGGCCGTCCAGGTGGAAGACACAGTGTGGGGGGCAGGTTCTGGTGAGAAAGAGGCTCAGCCACGGTCTCGGGCGTGGTTCACCGGGCAGATGCCACGGCCATGGGTGTGGGCGTGACCTACACCATGACCTGAAAGCATGTGAAGGGCAAGCATGGGCAAGCATGGGGGTGGAAACGGCTTTCTGAGGAGCACCGGAAGGTCCCGGCCCCAGAGGCGTGTTCTGACCCACGCTCTCGGTAGTGCACGCATTAAACATGTAAAGAATAAACATTACAAAATAGTCAGAACGGAACAAAAAGGAGGATTTTGGATCAAGCTTTCGGCGGTACAGAAAGCAGCGCCTGCAGATCAGCATAGAGATGCTGGCGTGGGGGGTAAGCCTGCAGGCACCGGCAGGATGCAAGGACACGATGCTGCCCCGGCCCCGGAGAGCAGAGCAGAGGAGCTGCCGCACACCAGGCCCTGCCCTTCATCCCCCCCCCCGACCACCCCCCGCCGCCGCAGGCCTCCAGGGGCCAGGAGCCCAGAGAGCTCCCCCAGCCGACCTCTGCAGCCCCCTCCCGGGACAGGACAGGGAGTGATACAGCAGGAATGGGGCAAACACCTCCGAAGATAAACCCAGCAAGGCTCAACTGGAAAAACGTCATAACAATGTTAGGATCAAAAATAAAACTATAACCAAAGGAGTTTTACATGTTGTTTAAATCATCGTGGGATGTTACCAACTTTACGCATACCTTGGAAAACTTAAAAGGAATGGATACAGTTGTTTGCAGGGTTATAACCATTACCCAGAACACACAGGAGGGTGATCCCGTCATCGCGCTAAAAGGCATCAGGCCCAGATTTGCACAGGCAAGCTTCGCCGGACTCTCGCGCTTAGAGCCTCACCCAGCGTGGTGGAGAGTGCGGGGCAGGGGGACGGCTTAGCTTGCGTTAGGAGGGAATCTGGAGAGTTCTGGAGGCAGGTTCTACCAGCCACGTGGCGACCCCCCTTGAGGGTGCTGGGGGTGGGGGCATGAGAGAGCCCCCCCATGGGGCATCGAGCGTAGTGCTTGGCCACGGGGTAGGGCGTGGCTGCAAGGAGGACCCTCGTGCCTTTGACAGAAGTACAGACTGGTGACTGGCTCGGGTGGTCTGAGGGTCACACGGACCGAGGCCTGGCCACTCTGAGGGTCTGCAACGGTGGGCGCGCCCCGCGTCGGCATTCCGTCTGGTGGTGGAAGCGCACCGACTGCGTCCGGACGAGGCTCCCCCTCGGAGCGGTGGTGCCTCAGCTGAGCGGGACCCGCAGGCCCAGTGTCTCCGATACTGGGCCGGCTGAAAATCCGATGGTTTCTCCCACAAGGTGGCTCCTAGTAGCACTTGGTTGTCTTTGACTTCACTCGAGACAGTTTCTTAGACTGTTTGGGGACAGCCGTCCTACCAGTGAGCATTAAAAAACAAAAATTGGTGAATTTTTGTGCAGCCATTTTAATATCGAAGATGAAAGAAAATACACCACGTTTTTGGCATATTATGCTTCATTATTTCAAGAAAAGTACAAATGCAGCCGAAATGCAGAACAGGATCCGTGCCGTGTGGGGAGGAGGCGCTGTGACCGACCAAATGTGTCAGAGGTGCTTGCGGAAGAAGCTTCACTCGGGAGGTTCCGGTTCCTCGCTGGACGGTACTCGGCGGTGGCGGGGATCAAGCCGAGAAGTTAATTGAGAACAGTTCCTGTTATAACATGCGGGAGACAGCGGACATACTCAGAACATCCAAATCCTTAAAGCTGTTGGTGGACGTGAAAGACCGGCCGGCCCAGCCCCCAGGTGCACTTGTCACTCTGGAGAAGCCAAAGATGTGTCGCCGACGGAGGCTCAAGTGCAGCAAAGACGCAGGCGTGTGTGTGGGAGTGATGTCTGAACCTTGGCTGGAACTTGGCGACGTGGAAGGGAAGTGAGGGCCGGTATCTTTGGATGCTTCACTTTTAAAAACCTGAAGGTGTAGCGAAGGCTGGCGAGGCGCAGAGGGCTCCATGCGGCCCCTGTCACGTGTGTTTGCAGGGGTGCGCGGCCCAGTCGGGGTGGCGGCAGGTTGGGGCAAGGCTGGAGTGCGGGCCCGCCACCGTCACAGCAGCTGCGTCCTCAGCTGCAGTGTAAACTTAGGTCGTTTCGGTGGATGGTGGTGGGTAAGCTTTGTCTCAGCATCGGTGGATCCGCAGGCCTCAGACCTGGCGGCCTGGGGTCTCGGGCCCAGCGGCACGGGTACGGGGGGTGCCGCTCCTTCACTTTGTCTCCTGATGGCTCCCGTGTTACTGCAGGTCGGGAAGAGCGGGAACATCCCGGCGGGCACCACTGTGGACACGAAGATCACCCACCCGACCGAGTTCGACTTCTACCTGTGCAGTCACGCTGGCATCCAGGTAAGGCGGGGGCGGGGGCGGCCTGCGGGTGTCTCGGCGTCCCTGTGACGGCGCCTATGGCAGACCCACAGGGAGCGTGAGCCTTGGGCCTGGTGCTCCTGGGGGCTTGGGTCTCCATGGGGAGCCCCTGCGAGGGTTTGCAGCCTGTGGGCAGGTGGCTAATGGGGCCAGAGGCTTGGAAGGGCCCGGTGGGGGGGGCAGAGGCCCCACAGGGATGCTGGGGAACACGTTTTGGACATGATGAGGTCTGGGCAGAAGGAGCAGCAGGTGCAGAGTCCAGGTACGGGTGGGGCAGGGGCATCCGGTGTGCCCGGTGCTCAGGGAGCTAGACGAAAGTCAGCCTCGTAGCAGGTGACAGAGGTCTCCAGAGACGTGCGGGGGGCAGTGAGGGGCAGAGGGGTCGACTGCATGAGCTCCCACTGCCCCGTTTGCACCGTGCTGGGCGTGGTGCCCTGGGACAGCTGCCCTGGCTCATCAGCTCTTCGGGGCTCTTCCGGTCTCTCTCGGCGAAGGGACCTCCAACGTGGCCACAGCCCGTGGGACGGGAGAGCTCAGTGCTGGGTGCCCGTCCTGCCCCAGAGCTTCCTCACACGGGGCTTTGGTCTCAGAGGGCATGTAAGGACTCCCGTGTGCCTCCTTGGAGCATGTGAGCCTAGAAGATGAGCATTCACTGTGAACTTGGCACTTCCGCTCTGGGGTGACACCCCCGAGCCTGGAGGCTTTCCTGTCATCTCTGGTGCAGCCATCGGCCCAGGCTCCCGTCCCCCGTGCCCGGGCCCCTCTCCCGGATGGGCTCGTGGTGGAGGCTTGGGTTCTGTGCTCCCTGCAGCTGGTTCTTCCCTGGCCGCCCTCCTTGGGTGCAGCCCTCACGTGCAGGGCCCCTCTGGCTTGGAGAATGGCTGAGCCTCTGGCCCCGTGTTCTCTGCCCAGGCCCTTTCTCAGGGGGACCTTCTCTTCAGACATGGCGAAGTGCTGGGGCGCAGGCCTCAGAAGGGCCTGTTGTGCCATCAGCCCTGTGACCCCAGCAGCCCCTCATACAGCGTTCCCTGCTGCCCACCTGCCTGTGACAGCCACCAATGAAGTGGCAAAGTAGGACGCCCAATGGTGCACCCGAGAAGCAGAGGACGGAAGCGTCCGTCACAGCACAGGCACGGAGTGGGCAGCAGTAGCCAGGCCAGAGGTGCCCAGCGGGACTGGTAGCGAGAGGCCGGAGAGGCCCCGGACTGCCTAAGACGGCACGCGTGTGCCGGCTTCCCCTTAGCGGGTGTTGTTAGTGTTAGTTGTTGGCGTGGGACTTCCACCAAGAGAGCTTCTCTCTCCTGTGAGCAGAGCCCTGTGGGGGACCTGACTCTCCCCGGCCACGCTCTCCTCCAGCGGCTGCGTTCTCCTGCTGCGGCTCTCCCCGGGGCTCTTCTCTGCATCCATGGGGGTGTGGTCTGTTGTGTTTGCGCGTGGGGCGGCGGAAGGCGTGGTCCAGTGCCTTCCGACAACAACACGTCCTGACGTGGATGTCTGTCTGTCACTGACCACGGCCGCGTGCCCAGGGTGCGGCCGCGGCTGGGCGGGCGCGTCGGTGTGCCTGCCTGCAGGTGAGTTCCGCACGCCTCTCTGACCCTCTCGTCTGCTTTTAGGGAACAAGCAGGCCTTCCCACTATCACGTGCTTTGGGATGACAATCGTTTCTCTTCCGATGAGCTGCAGATCCTCACCTACCAGCTGTGTCACACCTACGTGCGCTGCACACGCTCCGTGTCCATCCCGGCGCCAGCCTACTACGCGCACCTGGTGGCCTTCCGGGCCAGGTACCACCTGGTGGACAAAGAACACGACAGGTGAGTGGGCAGCAGGCCTCTCCGGCGGGCGGTCTCGGCAGCGGCGTTTCCAGAGCGGGAGCAGTGGGGTCATGGCGGCTGGAGCCGGCCGCACCGCGGACGCCGGCAGGCCAGCGGAGCTCCGCTGCCGCCTGTGAGCAGGTGCCTGGTGCGCGGCCCTGACCCGTCACCGGGGTGCTGCCTCGTGCCGCACGCGAGGCTGTGCTCTCCGTGTCCCTGTCCCCACAGTGCTGAAGGAAGCCATACCTCTGGGCAGAGTAACGGGCGAGACCACCAGGCGCTGGCCAAGGCGGTCCAGGTCCATCAGGACACGCTGCGCACCATGTACTTTGCCTGACGTGCCGTGTTTACGATCGTGTGCCCAGTCGGATTCACACGAGACCAGCTACACTCAGACCAACCAACGCCCAGCCCTTCCGTGACAGCCAGCATCCAACACGAGACGTCATTGACTTGCATAGACCCTCCATCTCCCAGAATGCCTTCTGCCCCGGACTCCACACTTGGATTTGAGCTGCAGACCTGTATGAGGCCCCTTGTCGTGGGAAGTGTGGTTTGCCAAAATCTGTGAGCTGCTCCTTCACGTAGGACCCCACGTTCCCTAAAAATCTCCTAAAAGCAGTCTATGAACTCAGGGCTTTAAAACATTTTTAATTTATTTGGTCATTCGATTTACTTGTTTTTAACACGATTCTCTATGAAATTGATGGTCTCAAACTAGCTGTGAACGTTCTCTGAGAGGGAAAGCAGCGCAAACGCAATTGTGGTTTTAAAGCCTTGACCAGGTGTGATGTCGTCACGAAAGCCTCTTTCACGGGGACGCTAGTGCCCCCAGCGTGGCACACGCAAGCTCCTCCGGACCCGAGGGCGGGGGCCGCGGCGTCTGGTCCCATCCCGCCCGCCCGCCTCTCCCTGGGCTCCAGGGACAGCACGGGGGTGGCGGCGGTCACGTGCGTTTACAACATTTCTAGGTCCAGAGAGATTGGCAGACAAGTGCCATTTTAATAAAAATTTATTAAAAAAGAGAAAAAAGACAATATGCCGCCAGTCTAGTCATAAGATTTGTCCTTGAGGACTGTGATGTTTATTTTCCAAAGTTTTGAGGAATACGGGTCTGTGGTGACACATACAGTACAATCCTTTTTCACTGTTACGTCTGTGACATCAGAGAAGAAATATATTATCTGGTTTGCAGTATTCACGTGGTAGCTAGACGCTGTTGTCCGTTTTATTGGCTGTGGGGTGCTTCTCGTGGTCTGTGTAGCGCATCAGCAGCGTCCGGAGACCGGAGGGCCTCGTGCGGGCACGTGCTGCTGACTCGCCGTGACCTCGGCCGGCGCCCCCTGTGGACTGTCGCCAGCAGCCTCTCGCCGCCCCGTTTGCCTCCCAGTCCTGCGCCTCGCTCAGCCGATTAAGCACAAATGGAATGTACGCGTTCTTCCCCCTGGGAACGAGCCGAGCGCCTGAGCGCACTCCTCCGTGTTTCCTTCTCCGTGGCGGGGCGTCGGGCGGTGCACCGGACACAGAGAGAGCCGCAGGGGGTGGCCCGGAGGATGGCGGGCGGAAGCCAGCGTCAGGGCCCAACCCCCGCTGGGATCTGCCTTCCGGCCGGCGAGGAACCGTTGCACTAAGAGTGAGGTGCTGCGGGCCGCATGACGGGGCCGCAGCAGGCAGCGCCGTCTGCACCAAGCGGGCGTTTTGTCCTCGCGGGCAGTCCCGTGAAGAGTCTGGTCTGTGTTTATTGTGGAGACTCGAGGACGGGCTGCACCTTCCCCTGCTGCTTCTGCTGTCCCCACCGGCCCAACACTTACCTCTGGCGCTGCAGTGGACGAGGGTCCTGGCGGGCGTGCCTCTGCAAGAGGGGGGCACCCACCTGTCTCCTTGTCTGCGCTCTGAGGGGTGGGGGGCACTCATGGACACATGGCCCAGCTTGGCAGTGGTGACAGAGGGTGGCTGTTGTTTGTGATGCTCTCTGCCCAGAGTGGTCGTGTATGCGTCTTCGTAATGGCATTAGTCTCTTCTTGCTGTATCTTTTTTTTTTTTTTTTGTCTATTTTAAATGACAGAAGCCTTTGCTCTGAGAAATGTCGCAGTTCCGTGGTTTCATTAGCAAGTGGCACTTTCTCCCGCGTTCAGAAGGACACCAGTACACTCCCGGCTTCAGTCCCTAGAAGCCTTCAAGGTGAGGAGGGGCCCGTCACTAACACACATGAATTAGGTCGGTGTGTCAGCCCCTCTGAAACCGTCTCAAACGAGTGTTTGTAGCACGTGTGACAGGATCGTGGTGGGGGCAGAGCGGGGCTGGTGAAACGCAGGTTCCCAGGCCCTGCCGCGCACCTCCTCATCCGGGGCCCTCTGGAGTCGGCTGCCTCGCGCAGGGCGGGCCACCAGGGGCAGCTCCTCGGTCCTCGGCAGCGAGGGAGGCCCTTCCTAAGCTAAAACCTAGAAAAGGTCGCAGGCTGGTAGAAAATGAGACCTAAATTTTTAAAAAATTATTTTGAAGGCTAAGTTTTCTTTCCCATGGGCCAAACTACTTGGAGAAGGGTACTTTTTGTGGCCCTATGCTTGTTTTGTAAAGCTTTTCACACTAAAGGCACGAACAGACCATGCGTCTCCGCAGGTTGGCCACACGCCTCTGCGCATCAGGTGACTCGGAATTCGGAGGCTGCAGGTGCGCTCTCAGGTGACTCGCCGTTGCCCCAGATTCCTACCAGTCTCCCGTTACGAGGGTGAACTCTGAGTTCCGAGATGGTGTGAGGCCCCCCCACCCCCCGGTCTGCCCACGTGGCAGAGCCGTCCTGGCCGCGCGCGTGTGGAAGCCGGGAGGGGTCCCTTGCCGTCCTCCACCCAGGGCGACCTCAGGCCCAGGCCGAGAGGGCCCTGGCTTCTGGCTGGCTGTGCTCCCCACCCCACTCGCCCCCAGTTAGTAAGGTGTGCCTTCCTTGAAGCAAACTGAATGTGAACATGAAATAATGTAGAAATTGGGGTTCATGTAACAGGAAAACCGGGATTTATCTCATCTCTTAAAAAAGAGCTCTCCCCGTTAGATTCTTCCATTGGTACTCTTTGTTATATATTTTGAATTACTCGCTTTGAGAAAAACCAGTGTATTTGCATCCCTTCCCACTCTCTATTGCATTAGACAAGCTCCCGTGCCCCAAGTCCCAGGGGGACCATCCAGGTCACCATTTGGTGGGGGAGCCCCTTGGTGACGCGAGGGCCTTGCACCGCCGGCTCGGGTTCTTGGTTCAGATGGCCCGGTGACGCGGGCACACCTGCACTTCCAGAAGGGGGTGGGGCCGTTCTGGTTTGGGTCCGGGTTTTCTGTTACAAGAAGTCCTCACACAAACGCTTGCACACGGCAGGGTGGCCCTCCGTCGTCGCGGTCGGCGCCCCTGGGCGTTGCTCTCGCCCCCTCGAGTGGGCGCACTCGAGAACCACGGTAGCATCCGGAGGGAGCCGTCGGAGTCCGGGAGACACCCCCCACCCGGCATTCCGGCGTTGACCCCAGTTGCTGTGTTGCTGTGTGCTGGCTGGAAAATAGGGTTGAGGTCTGTCCCTCCAGCGGGGGGGGGGGCCGCGTGGGTGCTGCTGTGGACGATGCCGGTACGGCTGCGGGTCTCTGCCTTTCTGCTCTGGTGCGGTGCGGACGGGCCCGTGGTGCTCGGTGGGCACTCGAAACCGTTCTCTCAGCTTTTGTAAACCGCCGATCGTTTGCCTTCAGGCTTGCCGGATGATTTATTTTTGAAAGCCACAAAATGTAGTTTTTCTGGGTGAATTGTTTTTCTTAATATATGCAGCAATGTAATTTTACATTGATTGTGGGGTGACTTAAATTTTATTTTTTCAAGGCAGTTTTTCAGTCAGATTCTATATTTGATACACTATGTGAAGGGTGGACCAGCCACGCGTCAAGCAGTTGGGACACCAGGCAGTCCCCAAGAGCCCTGCGGGGCTGGGACGGCTTCTCTGCCCCCCGGCGCGGAAGCACTTGGCTTGTCTCCGGAGCCTAGGGGCAGTCTCTCGGGTTCCGGGGCAGTTCTTCAGTGGGACTCTGAGCTGTGGGGCAGTTAAAAGGATTTTCATGGGCATTTTCCCACCCCTGCGGCGGCGGCTCCATCGGCAGGGCCGTGGAGGCTGACCGGATTCAGACAGTGGACAATCCCGGTGGCCCAGACAAGCCATAGCCATTCCCCTGGGACCTCTCCCTGACTCGTCCCCACACCTGCTCGTGAGAAAAGGAATGTACGATGGAGAAGCTTCCTCGGTGTTCGTACGCCTCACTTTCAGAATGCAGCTGTTCTAGTTCGATTTTAAAGCCTTCCCCAAAGTAACCCGATTACCCCTTCCACCTGCCACAGCTGCTGCGGCGATCGCCAGTGTAGCCACCGTGGGCGTGGCCTTGTCACCAACTGTTGGCGTCACATGTGCTCCTGACACACTGTGTGTGCAAAAATTTCCCACTCCAGATACTCGCACTGATTCTGGCGGCCCCTTTAAATCATGTCCGACCTTGCACCTGCTGTACTTGTTTGGGTGACTGTACACAGGGTGAGGGGCAGTGGCCACGTGGGCACCCGCTGCTTCGCTCCGGCCTCTGCCTCGTCTCTCAGTGCCCCGTGGCAGTGCCGTGGGCGTGGCTCTGCACCTTGGCCTGTGTCTGTCAGCCTGCTCTCGAAGCACCAACCAGCCTCTCCACTCCTTCTTCCGAAAGGCGGTGGGGCCCCGGGAACGGCGTGCACCCCCTGCGGTCTGCACTGTTAAGAGGACTAGTCGTGAGCCCCGGAGCCTCCCTTTGGTGCGTTCGATGCCTGATCACTTGCTGCGACTTCCAAGAGCATTTCCTTCAGCTCCATCCAGCACCTGACCGTGTGCAGAGCGAGGGCCTGTGTGGCCCGTGCTCAGAGCTGTCATTTTGAGGCCACGAGGTCACTGTCGTGTCCGACTGTCGCCGGTGTGGAGAGACATGCGGTCCAGTGTGGTTCCCTTATGCCTGCGGCGTTCGCTAGCTCAGCAGTGTCTGCCCCACCCCAGTGCGTGGTCCTGTCTGTGGCCAGGATGCCTGGGGTCAGCCACACGCAGGTTTCTGACACCTGCTCCGCCACCTGGGTGCCTGGCGGTGCTGTGCCGATGCCGTGCCGATGCCGTGCCGGGCCCTCAGTGCTTCTCTGGGTGTGCTTTTCCATGTTACTGTCTCCAGTGAATGTATTGGCTCAGCCAAATCGCTACAGAAGGTGGTTTCTAATACCTTTTAGTTCAAAAAAGTAGATGCAGACCGAGGCTACCTCTGAGTTCCCAGTAGATTTGTTCCCAAATGTAGCTGTCCACACTGAAGCTAGCCAAAATGCTGCCCGAATAAACCGAATTGTGAACATCTCTCCGTTCCGTGCTGGCTTGAAAATTTGCGTGCCATACTGTGACCACAGACAGTCCCCTCCTCGGGGCTGCCCAGCTCCGATTTAGGGCCTCAGCGGTCAGCAGGGACGCGGCAGGCGGGCGGGAGCCAGCCTGCTGTCCAGGCTCTCAGGCCCTGTCTGTGGCGGGGCCCAGCTGGTCCTCTGCTGTCCTTTTGATGGGTTGGAAGTGGCTCCCTGTGTGCCCTCCGTGAACGCCCCCCGGGCGCTTGAACACCGACCCTCCCGCAGAGCATCCACCTAAAGCAGCCACCAGGGTCAAACAGCAGTGCGGGCACAGCTGACCTTTGACTCAGGCCTTGCGTCCCCATCGCTCCTGCGTAACACTGACCTGGGCCCACCAGCAGAACGTGCCCTCCAGGGCAAGGCCCTGCGTGCCACTTGGTCACCAGGAACGCACCCCACCCACACACCGCTGTTGCGGGCCCCCCTTTGCAGCCCCTGTGTCTTTTCTCTGGGTCCTTCAGTTCTCACGTCCTCAGAAGAGCAGATACCTCCCTTGGTTTGCTCTTAAGTTGCAGCGGGGCAGGTGGGGGGTCTCACAGTGACAGGCGTCTGGCTGGGGGCCCTGCTCCCCTGCCGGACACCAGTGGGCGTCGCCACCATTAGCCCTGCGGTCCAAGCTGGGATGCTTCTCCTCCCCGCTGCGCACTGTGCTTTCGAAAGGGCTCAGTGTCCTCAGTGGCCGTTCTCAGAGGGCTGAGCCTCTGCCCTCGGCTGCCTGCCCCACGGAGCGCGGCTGCGTTCTCAGCCAGGGTCCCACCCAGGGTGTTTCGAGGACAGCACACAGTGGCCCCTGCTCGGCTTGGTGGTGGGCTGAGGAGCTCAGATGCCTTCTGTGGCATGTTCCTGGGGTCAGGGCAGGCCTCCACCGCCGCGCTTGTGCTCGTGAGAGGCAGGGGAGGACCTGCAGAACTGAAGGTTGCTGGTGCTTCTCCTAGCGAATCTCTTGTACTGGTCGCTGTGAAAACTCAGCCGTGTGAGATCCTTGACCGCTCCCGGGTGATGTGACCCAAGGGTGAGCCCTTATCTCGCCCCACCCCCTTTCCAGGGGCCTGAATCAGCTTGTTTCCAACCGCCTTGGATTTAGGCAGCTCAGAGTTGAAGCTAAAACACCACACACAGTCTCCCCCAAGTGACCCTGGGAGCTGGGCGTTGAGGCCGACCTCATGCAGCACCTTCTGAATCTTCAAGGCCCTGACACCGTGAGTTGATCGCAAGAGCAGCCCCTGCCACCGGGCCAGGGGGTGCAGTGCTTGGCTTGTGGGGCGGCTCGTGGGGCAGGGGCTGTGGGAACAGCCCCAGGGGCCAGGCGGAGCTGCTCTGGAAGACCGGCCTCGGCCTCCGTGCCTTTGCGGCCCGGTCCTCGGCCCCCTCAGAGCCACGCCAGGCGGCCTCTTCGCTGGCGAGTGACCCCGCACGTCCCACGAGGCAGTCGCCCACCTCCCACCGTTGACTCGGCTTCTGCTCCTCAGCCTCCGACGCTGTGGGCTGTGACCGTGTGCCTGCCCCATGTCAGAAATTCGAGGTGCTGGCCACGGGGCCCCTCCCATGCCCAGGAAGACCGACCCCATAGACAGGTACTGGCCGTGACCATAAGCAGAACCTGGTGGCTTTGTCTGGAGTCACGCAACACAAGTGTCTTGTGTTATGGAACTGGAGTCTTTCGAAGGGGCTGGCATCATGTCTTTGTGCGTGCGAAGCCCTCGGCGGTCGGGGGCTGCCCGCCCCTGCTGTCCGTGTGTGGGGAAGCTCTCGGCGGTGCTGCTCTCGTGGGACACGTGGCAACGGCACTCTCGGGCCTGGTGGCGCCTCGGGCTGTGCAGAGCACCCCAGTTGCAGTCTCTGAAATGCAGTTTGTACTCTTCGGTTTTCAGGCCAGGTAGCGAGCGCTTTTCACGGCCGAGGGGCTCATTCCAAAGCACCTTTTCCTGTCACGGGATGGTTTTATTGTCTTGAAGTTGGAGAGATGACCCAGTGTTATTTATTTTACAGATGTGTAGAGAAGCCCCTGGACGGCTCCTCCAGCCCCCCCCCCCCCAGAGTCCCCCGCCCTCCCTTGGAGGTGCCCACTGCCAGGGACGCAACGCATTCGCAGTCTGGGTTCCTTTCCAGAGCCAATCATGCACCTGAAGCCCTGAAAGTACATAGTTTAGCACTAAATCGAAATTCGAATCCTGAGTTTGATAGTGGATTTTAATGTGGTTGTTGAAGATGTGGACTCATGTTTTATAACTGTAGAGGCAAGTGAGTTTTTACTTTTTAAAGTTTTAAGAGAATAATTGTAAGTTTCTGTGTAACGAAGTGGCTAATTACTCATCAAATACAAGAAAAGAATGTAGCGTCTAAATCCAGAATTTTCTTACCTCTGGTACACTTCATATTACTTACCTAATATGTATTGAGGGGTTTGCCCCCTGAGTTTTATCAACTTTTCTAGTTTTATTTTATTTTTATAAAATAATTGAAAAAGAACCAAAAATGAATTCAAAAGTTACCTAGGTAGATCTTGCCCCTTGTTAATTTCCCCCTACAATGAAACATTTTAGAAGACATTTTGAATCAAAATGTATCAAAACCATTTCAAGTTTACTCTTTTCTAAGAAGCTGAGCAGCTGCGAGGGCCCCGCCCCGTCCTGGGTGGTTCTCCACCTCCTGGACTCGGGCGCGAGCTTCTCCCTGCGCGGCGGTGGTGGGCCCACGCCTCCGAGTCTTGTGCTTGCACTAGAAACCATGCAGTGCTGTTCTGTAAATTGACAGTTCCTGAAGAAACTAGCATTTGTATCCGTTGGCCTCTCTGTGTAACTCTTCATTTGCTACGTGAATTGTAAACTGAATTTTAAAACTACAGCACCTGCTACATTCGACTCTGAGGCTTCGCGTCCTTGTCTTGGTTTCCTGCCATCCTGTGTGTGTGGAGGCTGTCCAGCGCTTGCATGACGCTAGGTGGCCATGCCACTTTCAACCGAGCCTTAATCAGATGTTCAATTTGTAAGTTTCAGAGTATGCAAAAACGTTAGGCAGAGTGAGTGTGAACTGTCCGGGTCAGGATGCTGCACCCTAACTCGGCGAGTTCTCAGCGAGAACTCTTTTCTCTGGAGTTACAAAGGGAAACTTTTGGTGATACATCTCTGTCTCTCCCCTCCCCTCCCTCTCCCCCGCAACCCATCCCCCCTCACTGCCTGTCGCCCACGCGTGATGGAGAGGACCGCTGTGCATTTCTGTGGCAGCCAGTCCGTCAACAGGACCTGTTCTGAAAGTCTTGAGACTTTTTCAGGGTTATTTTTAAGTGTTTGAATTTTTTCCCTCCAGTCTGAGATTTGTTTATGGCTGATGGCGAGGATGACTGGGGCGCAAATCTTATTTTCAAACCCGCTCGTGTTCTACGCTTTCTGCAGGCGGTGCCTCCTGCCGTCCCTTCTGCATACGACTGAGTGAGTTTTTGTTTCTGTAAAAGCATCTTAAGTTTAGACACACAATGGAGGGGACCCAGCTTTCTTTACAATGTGGATCTACCTCAGTTCAACAGTTGGGTGCTATTTACGAAGTCTGTCAAATTAAATTTGAAAAAGTAACCAAACAGTGAGCTATAACTCCACGTGATGCTTGAATTCATAATTTGTTTATTTAATAATATTTTTATTTATTTTGTGCCTTTTATGTTGAATCCTAACACATTGAAAAAAAATCAGTATACAATTAAACATTGTAGATTGCAGGCGGGGAGAAAAGCCCAGTTGGCCGCGGCATTCGCTAGCGTACCCCAGCCCACCCCGACCGTGCGTTGGAACCCCAGCTGCCTTCTTGTGAAAAGGGACACACTGTGTTCCAGAGAGAATTCAGCATTTGATGAGCCGACTCCAAACTCTTCTATGCATGTATTTGTAGCCGTCGCTTCATTTCCGGTGCCAACGAAGGGGTGGCCAGAAACAACTGTGTCCTCTCGTCACTGCTTCTGTCGCCATTCGGCCCCCCCTCCCTCTGGCACGTTAAGTTTATTTCATACGCAGCAAGCGGGCAGTCGCGGGCCCACCCCTCTGGCCCCCGTGGAGGCGCCCACAGGACCACAGGCAGAGGGCGGGGCCGTGCTCCCCAGTGGCCTCGTCCCGAGTGGTAGGAGAGCTTCCGGCAGCGAGAAGGCAGGGAGAGGCGGGAGGAAGGTGATGGGTGGTTTTCCGGGCCTTTCTATTTGGCAGTTTACAATTCTAGACATTTCCTACTCTGGCGGTCTTTTTTATCTCAATTCTTTGGAGGTAACGCAATATTTTGGAGTCTTAAGAATTTGATTTTATACCAATAAGAAATAAAACTTAAGGATCTTTCCTGTAGTATATAGTTTTACTATTTTAAAGAGATTTCTGAATTTTACAAGAGAACCAACATTCCTTAGTGGCAAAACTTCGAAAGTTGATTGGGGAGGCTTTTAGTGGCAGGATCTCAAAGCAATGGGACGGTTCTGGTGGCAGTTTTCCGTTTGACACCCCTCCGGGTCGGTCCTCAGGCCGTTGTGAAGAGCGCGGCACCCTTTGGTGTGCCGCGGCCGAAGTCGGCCTTGCCGCACTTTCTCGGTAATAATAAATGCCTCCGTCGGCTCCCCAGAAGCATTTGGTTTCTTACCTAACGAGAGTCCTTTGGGGCAGGTCATTAAATCTCTGTAGGTACCTCAAGAAAAAGAGCCTGAACATGCTGCATTTTGTTTCGTTCGCTTTGATATGGGGCATTTTGTTTTGCTCTTATTATTTTGTTTAGATATATGCTTTTTGGACCCCAATAGACTGTTGAAAGAAGTTTTTAAATTACCCGTGTAGGGGTACAATACCCTTTCTTTCTATTTCCACTCCGCTATCTGGTTCAAAGGGTGCCCACCAGGAGAACACTCTGCCCAGACACACCCAGGACAAGGCACTGTGTGTATCAGCAGACGACAGATGTCCCCAGTCCTTCTGTTCATGCTGCTTTCTCAACTCCTTTCTCCGTGCTGCCAAGAGGTTGGGCAGCTCGTTTCTAAAGTCAAACTCCAGCACCGTGGCATCTGAGTTTTCAACACACCTCACACAGTTGCCACCGAGTGAGTAGCCTGACCCTAAAGGCAATGCAGGCATCAGGCAGCGGATGGGGCTGCTCCCCTGAGAGCCAGCCGTCCAGTCTCTTGCTCCCCGGGACTCGCCCGCACGAGCAGGTGGGAGTGGTCTTACCCGCAGAAGGTGAACTGGTGCAGAAAGCCGAGGGCTGAGACACTGAGCATCTATCGTGTTTGAGCTTAGCTGGGTCCTTTCGAGTTTGTTTTACAGCTTACTAGGTTGAGTAGTTTGCACTATTTTTGCAATAAATTCATGGAAACCCTAACAGTTATTTGTTTTGTTTCTTACTGTGTGTACATAAACTAATACTAAAAGTTTGGCATAGTGTTTTTCACCTCCTTACATAACCCTTAACATGCACAGAATGCTGTAAATCTGATAAAATATGATGTGAATGATATTTTATAAAGTTATTTTGTATGGTGTCAATTTTGTTTTGCCTCATAGTATGTCAGCAAAAATGAAATAAAATTCCTCGTATTTACAGCTGCCTCTCCCCAGTGTCTTCAGTTACTCACGTGTGGGTTTGGGCACCTCCTTCTGCACAGATTGACTCCAGGCTTCCCAGGCGGCAGCGCCCTGCCCACGACGAAGGTCTAGGGCCCCCCCCCTACAAGCACTGGGCCCGCCCCTGAACAATGTGCTCAGCAGGGCCAGGCACCGCCCTGCAGCATCTGGGGTTTGGGGAGAACCGCGGAGCAGACATCTCCAGGTGAGCCGGGTGCTCCTGCTGGAGCAGCCGTGAGACCAGACGAGGCCAAAAACCGCCCAGCTGAGCCCCGGGGCAGCACAAAGCCCCGAGCTCTACGTGATGTGGGAGTCAGAGCTGCGGTGCCCGGTTCGAGGCCTGTTGTTGGGAAGGGAAATGCGGGTTGGATCAAGAAAAGCAAGAAAGGGCTGGAAACGCCCCCAGTGGACACAGCAGCTGAAGCAGGCCGCCGTCTTGTTTTCTGTGGGTGCGTGTTCACGGGGCTGTACTTGTAGCCATCAGAATCAGAAACCACCCACACTGGGAACGGTCTGTTCCCCTGGGGGCTGGGTAAACACCAGCACATCCCCGCGATGCACCCCCGCTCAGCAGTGGAAAGGGCCGGGCGGCGACACCCTGGGCGGCAGGATGCTCAGAGTCCCCACACCGAGTGGGAAAGCCACCTCAGGCTGCCTGTTCCGCTGCCACTCCAGTGACACTGGAGGGACGGGTTCGCAGAGCCGGCCTGCCGTTTCTGTGTGGCCTATGAGATGAGGATGGTTATTAAATTCTTGAGTGGCTGAAAACTTAGAGTACTTTACACCCATGGAGACGCAGAATTCAAAGTCTGGTGTCCAGGGCCTTCTCCCCACATGGCCACGCTCACTCCTGTCGGTGCATCTGCGGGGCTCCCACGCGGGGCTCCCACGTGGGGCAGGGCCGAGTGGCTGCGGACTGCGAGGCTCACGGGCCTGAAGGTGTTTGCTGCGGCCCCCCGTACGGCTGGGTGGCTTCCAAGGTGCAGGGCGGGAACGCGTCCGACCGCTGGGAAATCTGGGGGGAGGTGATACGGCTGTTCTGTCTTAATTGTGGCAATTCCATGACTCTGCATTTCTCAAAACTCAGCAGTGTACGCCAAAAAGTGGATTTTAAATTTTTATTTAAAATATTTTTAAAATGAGAGACAGAAAATGTCAGTGGGTACCTGAGAACAGGGAAAGGACTGACTCCCAGGGGTACAGGGGGATATTTGGGGTAATGGAGCTGTTTGCACGACCAACAGCCTGAAAATTCACCCAATGTGAAAAAAGGAACCCTGGCTACTGCGGCTCGGTGGACTGAGTACAGCCTGTGAACCAAAGGGTTGTTGGTTGGGTTCCCAGTCAGGGCACCTGCCTGGGTTGCAGGCCAGGTCCCCAGTGGGGGTGTGTGAGAGGCAACCACACACTGATGTTTCTCTCCCTCCCTTGCCCTCTCTAAAAATAAATAAATAAATAAATAAATAAGAAAATCTTAAAAGAAAAAATACAGGATTTACAGTTTTCTCTTGTGCAGAGTAAAAGCCATTACTATAGGTATGAAGAAAGGAACAGCAAATGAGATGCAAAATGTTCTAAAATTTTTTTTTAAGAAAAATATGCTCATTCGAGGTAATACTTCTTTTCGGATTTATGATCTGACTTGAAATTGTTCTCTGGAAATAAAAGTGCTAGAAATGCCTATTTTTAATTTCGCAAAGGTCTGAGATACTAAGCAAGGCATTGCACCAGACGGATCACAACAAAATTAGAGCTACAGCGCACTTCACTGCACAAGTTTTAATGAGAATGTCTTTACAGTTAAAAATGCAGTATTTGGACAAATATCCTAGTAAATTTTCTTGAAATACAAAATTTTAAGTGTAAGACACTACATACAAAGTAACAAAATACAACACACACTACATTTTTAGCTAAAACTGGACCTACTTGTTTTCACATAACTGACATTCAGAAGCTGTTCAAAATCTGCCCGAGTGAGAAGCTGAGCCCAGCGGTCCCTGCCGCTACAGTGCGCAGCTGCACGTGGGCTGCATGGCCGATGGTGCAGGCGGCTCCTCCTGGGTGCCCTCCAACCACAGCACGGCCTGACCACTTTCCTTTGGCCTGCCGTGTGGGTGCAGGTGCAGGAGACGCTCTGTCCCAGCCGGGAAAGAGGACAGTGTGTTCAGAGTCTAAAAAGTGAAGGCTCAACCGCACAGCGCTGTGGGTGCTGTGGGCGCTAAGAAGCAGGGGCCAGTCCGGGCAGGGCACAGATGGGCAGCAGCCAATGAACGCGCGAACGAGTGCAACGACAAACCCACGTCTCGCCCTCTCCTTCTCTCCCCGCTCCTTGCCTCTCTCTCTAAAAAATCAATGAAGAAACAACAACCGTGGTGCTGATCCAGGATGGTCCTCACCAGGCTGAGTTTTTAAAGCTTTCATTTGAGGTTAGGACTCTGCATCTTCATCATCACTTTCATCACTGGTCTCATTCTCCTCCTCCTCGTCGGCTTCCCTCTTCTCCTTAAGCATTTTCAGGTATTTACTAGCTAGTATCTTCTTTGGTAATATATCTTAAAAACATAAAGCTGGCATTAGCGATTGCCTGTGGCAGGCCACGAACATAGCAACACCGTTCAAAGATGTCCTAGTTCCGCTCTGACCTCCGGAACAGGCTCCGGGACGACACCAAGTCGGACTCCCGTTCCTCTGGGCGGCCTCCTGCTGGACGAGGAAGACCTGTTTCCACGTCACTGCAAACCGTTCGCTGCTTCTATGTGCTGCTTGGCCTGTGAGCAGCCCGCCCAAACTGAGACAGGCCGGCCAGCCCCAGGGGCGGCAGCTGTTTAGCCCCGGCCACACGGCTCGTTCCACAAGTAGTTTCTGGGGGACAAGTACACCAGCCGAGAGTTTCCCTTCAGTGTAGGACGTGTCTGAGGGGTGGGTCTGCCAGGCCCACCCGCCAGCCAAACACCCTCGTGCTGGATGTCGGCCACATTATCGTACTCAGCAGGCAAAACTGTGCCAGGTCATGCTTAACTCTGGCACCTAGGGAAAGCAGCTAAATGTTTATTTCAGTGAAAGCAGGGGAGAAAAGCTGGAAATTACTTAGCATTTTTTAACCAGAATGTTTCAAAAACTAAGTACCTGCAAGAAACTGGAAAGTTTCTGATTCCTCTGCGGTATTTGACAAATCATTGTAAGTGAGTGCTCTCTCTTCTTTCCCACGGCCATGTCTGTAGGAATAGGTGGCTAGATACTGAACAAAGAGCTCCTAAAACAAATGAAAAGATGAAGTGAAAGGTGTGCTTAGAAAACTTATCGTAGAACTGAATTTTTTTAAAGATTTTATTTATCTATCTTCAGAGGGGAAGGGAAGGAGAGAGAGAAATATCAATGTATGGTTGCCTCTCGTGCACCCGCTGCTGGGAACTGGCCTGCAACCCAGGCATGTGCCCTGACTGGGAATCGAACTGCAATCCTCTGGTTCGCAGGCCCATGCTCAATCCACTGAGCTACACCAGCCAGAGCAGAACTGAAATTTTTAAACTACATTAAGTTTGGATGACTGCAGATTATCTTGGTGTCTCAAATTACAGGAAATCGTTGGAGAAAGGAGAAACTGAGGTCAGAAAGAAACCAAGAGTATCAAAATTGGCAGGAAGCAGGCATTTCCCTAAAGTTTATTTTTTTATTTTTAACTTAAAATATTGAAAACTGAACAATGAGTCATAAATGTTTAATGACCAGTCTGTACAGTTAAAAAAAGGGGGGTGAAGGCAAGAGACCATTCAAAAATTGTTTGGCTCCTGAAGACTCTGTCTTGGGTCGTTCCCTACAAATAAATAGTCAACATCAAGAAGTCGACTGTACCCCATTTCCTATTTTGCCCAAACACCTTCCCTAAAACAGCAACCTGGGCTGGGCCTCTTTCTTGAACTCCATCTAGTGTCCCAGGCACAAACCTTAGCTCCCGAACACTTGCAGCCAAAACTACCGGCACACACACAGACCCAGCATCACGTGCTAAACGGCAGTTACTTTCCTGGACTCAGAAAGGACGGCTCTGGCACAAAATCTGAGGCTGCCCACTCCCCCTGCTCTAGTCCAAACCGCTGTGGGAACATCGTGTGCCGAACGAGGAGCTGGAAAGCACATCTAGGGAAAGGTTCCAGCAGCCGAGGCGGCAGCTTCACCACGGCCCGGTGCAAGAACAGGGAGGGTCTGTTCAGCCACCTTTGAGCCCAAATCGGAACAGCCACATTATCTTGCAAGCTGCACAGCTTGGGCCCCCGGAATTACTTCCAGCCCGGGATACCCCGCTAAGATATCGGGGAGAGGTGGGGCGAACCGACAGCATCACGGGCCGGACCTCCCGAGGAAACCCTCACTGGAGGGGAGGGGAGTCGAGTACCGAAACCACAAAGCAGCCTGAACGCGAGAAAAGGGGGCTGGCTCGTCGGGAGGCCTGGGTCCAAAGACTGGTGACGCGGCAGCAGGCACAACAGCCGCGCGCCAGTCCGTGCTTTTGCCCAGGTGACCCCCGCGCGAGGGAGGACGGGACGGCGCGCGGAGGAACGCGGGAGCAGCGCGGCGTGGGCGGGGCGTGCGCCAGAAAGGACGAGAGCGGCGCGGGCAGGGTGGGGCTAAATAAAGTAGGGAGCTGGGCAGCTAGGGCACGCGTGGCGTGGAAGGGAAGTGAGGCGAATTGCGCAAGGGCACGCAGGCGCGAGCCCATGAAGAGGAGCCGGCGGCGCGCGGACCCAAGGGGACTGCGCAGCGCGACTGGTGCCGGTGGTCCCCACCCTAGCGCCCCGCTCACTTCTCCCTGCACTGCTTCCGCCTCACCGTAGCCTTAGCCGTGAGCATGAGCGCCTCCTGGTTGATGCTGGACACCTCGGGGGAGCTCTTCATGATGACCCGGATGCGGGACAGGGGCAGCGACACGATGCGCTGCTCCCCGCACTTGTCTCTGCCCATGACCACGTCCGCCATCTTTATGTCCCTCCCCCGCTGCGGCAGCTCGATCCGCAGCCGGGTGGCCGGCCGGGCACTGTCGGTACGGGAGCGCCGTTCCGCTGCCTCGTGGGAGTTGTAGTGCCGTGGAGGCGCGGCGACGGAGGCGGGGATCCGTCCTTCTGAGGGTGGACTACAAGACCCAAAATGCCGCGCGCCCCCCGCGGCTGCGCAGATGGAGCCGGGGAAAATCCGGAGAAGGCGCAGGCGGCCCGAACGTAGGGGTGGGGTTCGCTGTCACCTGGCAGGGGTGGTGACAGGAACCCGAGGGAGGGCGGGCCCTGTTTCGGAGGAGGTGAACGGTGGTTAAAAGTTCTTCCAGGAGGCGGGTCTTGCCCTTCAGTGAATGAGAATGGGGTGTCTTCTCTGTGCTGGGTTTGGGGACGTGGTAGTGAGCAAAGGAACGCTTTCCTAAGCCGCATTCCAGAGGGAAGACAGGGAAGAAACTGGCGAGCAAATTAGTGCTGATAAGTACTATGAAGGAGCCCTGGCTGGCGTGACTCAGTGAGTTGAACGGCTGCCTGTGAACCAGAGAGCCGCAGAGTCGTTTCCCAGTCTGGTCGAACGCCTGGGTCACTGGCCAGGTCCCCGGTTAGGGGCCTGCGACAGGCAGCTGACCCCATGTATCATTCTCACATTGATGTTTCTCCTCCTCTTTTTCTCCCTTCCTCTCTTTTGTTACCTCTAAAGATAAATAAAATCTTTGTCAAAAATACCATGAAGGAAAAGAAAGCAATGGAAGAACACAGGAGTAGGGAGGAAGACTGGCAGTAGTGTCTGAGAAAGCACTTACTGGGAGAAGGAACAGCAGGTGCAAAGGCCCTGGGGCAGGAGCTTTCCAGAGAGACTCAGTATGAGCAGACAGTGGAATCAGGGGCCCTGCCCAGGTGTGTGAGGGCTGAAGGAAGAGGCTGAGGGATGATAGCATTTGTTTTAAATTTTCAGAGGAACCCTCTGGCTGCAGATGGTGAAGAGTCGAGGAGGGAGTGGTAAAGGTAGAGAGGTCTACCTTGGGAGTGCAGAGGCCAGGAGGGTGATTACGAGTGTGCCTAAGGTGAAATGCTAGGGGACAATGGTAGGATTTATCCAAGGTCAGGTCAGGGAGGGCCGGGTGGGCTGTGGAATTCTTGCTGAAGCAGTTGGGTGGCTCTTGGGAGAGAAAGATGGAAACGAGTGAATGGTGGTGCTGTTTATTGAGACGGAGAACCCGCCTCGAGGTCGTCGGCCGGAGCTTTGGTTTGGAGCAAGTTAACTTCCATCTGCCTCTCAAACACGAGCAGCAGTGTTGAGTGGACAGGTGGCTCTTCCCACCTGGGGTTCCGCTGGAGCAGTGAATTTAGAAGCCAGCGTTGTCTAGATGGTAGTTAAAACCATGGACCCGGCCCTGGCTGGTGTGGCTCAGGGGATTGAGTGCTGGACTGTGAAACAAAGGGTTGCTGGTTCAATTCCCAGTCAGGGCACATGTCTGGGTTGCAGGCCAGGTTCCCAATAGGGGCTGTGTGAGAGCCAACCACACACTAATGTTTCTCTCCCTCCCCTTCCTCTCTCTCTAAAAATAAATAAAAATGTTTAAAAACAACAACAAAACGTGGACCTGGGTGAGTGTATCTAGGAGGAGGGTGTAGAGAGAGTAGAAAGACCCGGGGGCCATGTTCTGAGGCCCTCCAGCATCTCAAGATGGAGGAGGGAAATCCAGCGAAGGAGACTGGGCAGAGGTGGCCACCGAGAGGACAGCGGGCGTCCATCGAGCCAACAGAAGAGTTTTCCTGGAAGGAGGGACTGATGAATGGGATGGAACGCTGCAGAGGTCAGTGAGGAGACTGCCTTTCACTCACAGTGCAGCCGAAGGCAAGGCCAGTGCTCTCCGCGCCGCTGCCCCTCCTTTGCAGACACAGGCAGTCGCCGGGCGTCTGGGTGATGAGACACGACAGTGCCCGCCCTGTCTGTGACGCTGCACCCTGCACAGCCGCCCTCACGGCTCCGAGCCGGGCCACAGAGGCAACGGGAAAGGAAGCCACTGTAAGCTGTAGAGCATCCTGCAACTGCGTGAATTCTGCATGAGGTCTCAGTGTTCCCGCTGCAGGGTCTTGTCACCCCAAACCAACTGTGACCTCAGAGTCCACGTGAAGCGAGTTTGGAAAACCCAGACTTCACCCTGTTTTAACCCTTCTGATCTCAGTTCTGTCCGTCACTTGGGCAGGGACTACAAAGTGCATTCCGCGCGCCTGGTGGGCTGCAGGGCATCCACCCTTCCCCACGTCTCTGGGAAGAAGAAGAGTTGTCCTGGGCCACACGCCGAATACACTAACAGAACAAAGAACAAATCTTAATGTTTTCAGTAATTTTACAATTTTGTGTCGGGCTGCATGTGGCCCGTGGGCCACAGGTCGGACACCCCTGCTTCTGCAAGTGCAGTGGGTTCTGAGAAGCACGGCTCTCTCCAGTCTTCCTCGGGGCGGGGCCGTAGGTCCGGTTCCAAACGTTCCAGATCACCGAGATCGCAGTAGACAAGCCTTCCCACGTCTCCCTGCAGCCATAAGGACCTAGCAACCTCAGCACCTGCTGAGTGCTCCACCACGGGAAAGTAAGGGCCAAGAGCGCAAGGACAGTGCATCCTCACCACTGTGACCCCAGGTCTTGGCCCAAATAATAGCACCAGATGCAGGTCAGGCACTGATGGGCACAAAGATACCTCCGTGAGCAAAATGGCCATGGTCCCTGTTCTCCCAGAGCTTGCTTTCAAGTTCAAGGGTGACAGAAAAAGAAACTCTCCTACAGTAAATGCTATGAAGAACCCACACTGCGAGCAATGGGGCAGCCTCTCCGAGAAGTGATATTTAAGCTCGGATCTGAAATGGGAAAGGCACCAACCACACAGAAAGCCTGGGCGAGGTGAGCGCCCAGAACGGAACAGCCTGTGAGATGGGCGTCTGCAGAGGAAGATGCCTTCGCAAATTACAGGCCAGTGAGGCGGAGGCCCAGGGAGAAGCTGGGAGCAAGGTCGGTGGGACCGGCTGGGGCAGGCAGGCGAGAGGTTCAGCCTTTGTTCTGAGAGCAGTGGAGGGAGCCAGGGAGTCTTGAAGTGAGGTAGTGGATCCCACTTAAAAACCCACCTGCTGCCCTGTGCTGACGACTCACGGGTTCCCCGCCTCGTCCCCGTGGAAAAGGTCCTACCGTTCACTAAAGGCAAGAGCAAGAAGCTGCTCAACAAAACCAAGTTCGCAGAGGGCCCTTAAGTCCCCGTGAGAAACAAGCTGTGTGGCTGACATACGGTAAAGCCGTTGGCTATTTTGTTTCTCTAGCTGGTTATGGGTTTTGTGAACCCTGCCCTTCTCTTTCAGCAGGTCTGGGGGGCAGGCGGGGGGGGGGGGGCAGGAGGCATCTGGGGAGTGAGAGAGCCTGAGGAGCTCAGGTTCCAGGCTTGGCAGGGGTGTTGACTGGCAGTTGATTTGGGAAGTACTGAGAGGGGCAAAGAAGGAAATCTTCAGAGAAGAGGGAAGGCCCTCACCATTAAAAAAAAAAGAAAGAAAGAAACCAGCCCTGGCTGGTGTAGCTCAGTGGATTAGGTGCCGGCCTATGAACCAAAGGGCCGCCAGCTTGATTCCCAGTCAGGCCACAGGCCTGGGTTGCTGGCCAGGTCCCCTGTTGGGGGCACAAGAGAGGCAACCAGACCCTGATGTTTCTCTCCTTCTCTCTCTCTCTTCCTCTCTCTAAAAATAGATGAATAACTAACCTTAAAAAAAAAAGAAACCAGCTTCAGACCTGAGACAGGAGGAGTATCTATGCCGCCTGGCAGCTTGGCTGCACTGGAAAGGCACAGTGCACGCCTGCGCACTTCTGTTAGCGTGCCCTGTTCGCCCACGTCATCTCCAGGGCCCCCGGAAGGTGTGCCCGTGATTCCTGGTGCTTCTGCATGGCTCATCCTTGCTCCCTCCCGTGTCTGTGTCTTGAGTGAACCACACTTCCCAGGACCCCTGCCAGCTGACCTCCGGTTCAGTCCTGACCGCGGGGAAGTGGTGAGACGCTGCCTTGGGAAGGCAGGAAGGGTCTTGTCTGTGTGCTGTGTGAAGGCTTTGATGGCAGGCTGGGGAGTGCGGTTTGGGGGCGGGGACAGTGGTGGTTTGAGCGGCTCCACCTCCCCAGGTTTCTGCTCAGAAGCAGCCTCTCCCTCAGTGGCCAGTGTGGGCTCCTGGGCTCCCAGCTGGGGGGTGGGAGTGGCCTCCTGAGCTCAAGGTAGCATCTCCCACCTGTTTCCTTCAGAACACCTTTTCCCTCCTGCTCCTGCGGTGCTCCCAACACCTTGCAGTCGGTCCCTGGCACTAAATCCCTTTCTGCATGAGATACCTAGAGCAGTTTCTGCTTTCGGGGATTGAACCGAGAAACATACAGACATGGTCCTGGGAAACAGGCCCAGAAAAGTGGGACCGCGGACCTCCGTCGTGGGGCACGCAGAGCCGGCCTCACTGGCTGCACACCCTGGCAGAGTGGCCACCGAGACCCTCACCTGTCCTGGCCTGGACTGAGTGCTCGCTGAAGGGCAGGCTGCTGAGGGACTGTCAGGGCGGGGATGGAGCCCGCAGGATGGGCTGGCTTCTGGTGGCACCGGAAAGGTTTCAGACAAAATGGAAAGCTTGGGGCTTTAAAATCTCAGGTCAACCAGGTCCTGCACCGGCCTGAGTGACTCTTTATCTTGTGTAGCCTCAGGGCTGACAGGGCTCAGGGTCAGACCTACCTGGATCCTACCTGATGCCTGATTGCAAGATAAGCTGAAGTCCTGCCTTCAGGTCTTTTCCGTGAAGTCAGGCTCTTGCTAGGGAGGAGCTGGGGTTAGAACAGGGTAGTGGGGGGGATACCTGCAGGTTGAGAACCTGACCTGCCCCACCCATCTGAGCCTCCGTCAGTGGAAATAGCCCTGGTGCCTGCCTAAGGCCATCGCTCCTCACCTGCTTGAAGTCCTGTTTTGCACTCACTTGAGGAGCTTACCCGGCCAGGAAGGGGATGCTGAGCCTTCTCAAGACTGGCTCCAGAGTCCGTCCTAAGTGGAGTCAGACCCCAG